GGCAAAGACAATCAAAATCGGAAAGACAAGGCAGATATCCATTAATTTGAAATGTGTGGAAATCTGCACTCAGCATGAAGAAAAAATCATTCGGATTTTGAACTTTACCGACACATCAGTCAGTGCTTCTGTATGGTTCAGAGACTTAGAGTGTCACAAAAACCATTTCCAACAGCCGTCAGATTTTTATCAACAGCCGCCTTCACTTAACACTGAAGATCAGATACCAACCAGAAAGGGTAAGCAACAAGGAACTCTGACAATAAAGCTGCCAAGTACCCATAGACCAATAAATATGCTGAAGGAAATAGAAATGGGTTGGACACACTGAGGAGACCATTGAGTGACATTACTCACCAGAAACCTAGAGTGGAACCCTAAGGGAAAACAACCAGTTTGGTATCCAAGAGCCACCTGAGGAAAGATTATTTAGGGAGTAGACCAGAGCTCATGGGCAATCGTGGAGCCAGCTAAACAGGACTACAGAGAACAAGACAAAATTGAGATTTGCTGTTGAAAACCCATGTTCCGCTAGGAACACAGTGAATTAATAATAATCCCTGTGTTTCCACATGATCAGTTGACAACATAATGTATGTTACTTAGCCACACAAAAACAAAGAGTTATAAATGAATTAGAGTTTGATTAACCGATCGACATGTTTATACCATCATCAGTATGATTTCTTTCAAAACAGACGCAGAAGAAGCATCAAAGGTAGGACTTCAGGTGAACATAGATAAAACAGAGGTGATGAAAATTCCTGGGCAACACCACCAACTGCAACAACAACAATCAGCATAAATGGGAGGAACCTGAAAGAAACAACCTCTTTTACCTACCAACCTGGAAGCATCGTTTCAACTACAGGTGGAACTGATGAGGATATCAAAGCAAGAATCGGAAAAGCAAGACAAGCTTTCACTACTCTCAAGTCTGTGTGGAGGTCAACAGCACTCAGCATTAAAAATAAGATCCGGATTTTCAACTCCAATGTGAAATCAGTCAGTGCTACTGTACGGATCAGAGACTTGGCCAGCGCGTCATAAAGAGCATCTCAAACAAACTACACACCTTCATTAACAGTTGTCTTCGCTCAATACCAATCAAGGTCAGATGGCCAGAAAAGATCAGCAACAGGGATCTCTGGGAGCGAACCAACACAGCAGGAACCGATTGTGAAACAAATATGCAGGAAGAAATAGAGATGGATTGGCTAGGCATACTCTGAGGAAACCATCAAGTGACATCACTAGACGAGCGATTGCTCGAGTGGAACCCGAAAGGGAAGCGGCGAGTTGGTCGTCAGTGCAAGGGTGACTTGGAGGAGGTCATGTGAAGAGGAGATGAGGAAGTGTGGGCAGACTTGGAACAAGGTGAAGACTCTAGCAGAGAACCGAACGCAATGGAGACGGACGGCTGAAGCCCTATGTTCCTCTAGGAATTAAAGGAAACAATAATAATAATAATCTAATATGATTTACTTCAATTTATCTTCAGTGACAGTTCCATATTAATGCTTCATTTAAAATGTATTTTGTTACATGATAAGAGCTCTCCTGTCATACTGACTTTTAACTTATAATAATGACAATTTGTGAAAGTAATTTAATATGTTGTTTACATCTTCCAAGGAAGTTTTACTTTGTAAATTGATATCTATGTAATGAGTGGAAGACAAAGTGAAATAGTTGCTACTGTATTTCCATTGAAAACCTCCAGATTACTGACCTGATATCCTAATAACTGAGTTGTATTCGCAGAAGGTTGGAATATCATCATTTCGTTTTTAATCAATAATCGTTTTATATAGAAGTTAAATGAGTGTGTAATAAATAATTATCGACAGTATAAACTGAATATTTTACTTTCATTAAAGAATATTTAATTTATCGAAGGCTTTCAGATGAGTATTTCTGAAAAATAAACTCAGAAATTACGAGGTGATAAGGGAATGGTAGTAAGAGTGAGTAAGGATATAAGGTACTGCAAAACAAATTTGTCACGTTTTCGTCTCAGTAGACTTAAATAGGCACAACGGAGGTGGTTAACTACGATCTCAATCACCTGAGATAGTTGGTTTTATGTGATTTTCTATTAAATGCCTAGAGTAATGCCGTCATTATATCCGATGTTTCATTTGGCTGTGTTTTTGAAGGTGTTATATCAAATTTTCTTACACAGCTGGAGTACCTATTGTAGTCTTCGCTATACTATGTGCGATAGCTTTTATCCTCACAGGACAATAATGCGTACCGAAGTTTAAATTTAGCGCCAAAATTTGGATGATATTTACAAGTAAAGACAAAACAGAGTTTAGTAAAAAGGAAAATATGTAATATGTTGATATCACTAAAATGTAAATGTTTCACTTCAGTCTATCGCATGTCCAGTATGTGAAGACCAAACGTAGTAATACTTTTAGTTATGGGCTTTTGTCCCTCAGAAATATTTTCAATACTTAATTGGAATGGTTACAGGTTTAATCATGAGCTGATATCAATTAAGGAACCACTGGAGAACCAGGGAGTACTGCACAGTTGTTCTATCCCACTTTAGACCTCTTCAGAAGTGCACGTCCATCAGGGTTCTAACTCAGGATCTTCCGGTTTCAAGGTGAGCTCGCATACCATCCAGCCAATGGGACTTGATTCAATGGCACATGGGTTCCAGCTTCTGTCGACTCGCGATGTATGTATTTCTTTATTTTTTATTTATTTAAACGCAGAAAAAACTTGGTGCAATATGGCACCAAGAAAGATGCGCCACACAATAATAATAAAACAACATAAATTAAAAGTAAAAATATAAGTAGAAAACGAATAAAGAACTTCATCTGGAAGGAAAACAGTCATGTTTAACAAGTTCCAACACTATTCGTTAATTATCATCAGGAAGGGGAGAAAGAAGGAAATTGCAACACGTTCGCCATTCATTACGATTCTTGGCCATATCCGATAACGTTGCGAGCCATCGATTCGAGCTATCTCGCGGAACTCAACCAGGGAGTCGTGACACACCAACCGATGCTAATCTAGCACAAATGTCTTTCATCCCACGACGCCACGTCATGGACTGACCACCCCTCCGGCTTTTTCCATCCCGTCCCAGGGCTAGCGAACAGAGACCTGTACGGAAGCCTCTGGGATGACATTCGCAGCACATGTCCAAGCCACCGGAGCTGGTGTTTCCAGATGACGACACTCAATGAATGGTGATCTCCACTGTGTTCAAACACACGCCGCCGAACCTCATAATTACTCACGCAGTGATGCCATCGAACGCAAGCAATCCTGCGGAGACAGCGTTGATCGAACACACAGAGTCGCCTCACATCCTCAGCTCGGAGAGGCCACGTTTCACAGGCGTAGAGCAAGACAGTCCACACCGAAGCATTGTATACCCGACCTTTGACAACCAGGCTAACGTCGCGACGGCGCCAGAGGTGGCTCAAGTTGATGTATGCCACCCTAGCCTTCATTATCCGGTTGGAAATCTCATCCGTCACCCCTCCTCCAGTACTCACACAACTACCCAGATACACAAACTTATCAACAACTTCAAGCGGTTCACCCGCAAGAGTGAGTGCAGGTACAGGCTCCTGCCAATCTTGTAACAGTACTTTACACTTAAACGGTGCAAAGCACATACCATACTTACAGACACTGATTGCTAACTGATTAAGTGCGATTTGGGCAGCCTGCATGCTATCGCACAGTAAGACGATATCATCTGCATACTCGAGTTCGAAAAGTCTATTTCCAGTTATCAGATCTACACCACCTTCACGCACATCCTTCAGAGCTGACTCCAGAATGTCATCGATGGCAAAGTTAAAGAGAAATGGAGAAACTGGGTAACCCTGTCTAACCCCACTGTTGGTTGGGAACAGTGATGATAGTTGGTTGTATGCCCTCACTCTACCTGAGGTGTTTCTGTATAGGGCTTTCAAGATGTTAACAAATTTCTCAGGTACACCTCTCTCTAACAGACAGTTCCAGAGCACAGTTCTGTCCAACGAATCGAAGGCAGCAATACGTGTGGCGGTGCGCAATGTATGTAGCGTAAACGCAAGTCAGTGTCATAAGTGAGTAAATGTTGTCTTACCTGACTTGATGGACCTTTTTGGTCAGGACCTCTCACTAAAACACCAGGTAACTTCCTGTGCAGAGCTAGTCGCTTGTGAGCATCAGATTAACTATGAATTGTTGGTTTGCAGAGATTTCATTGGTCATACTGATGTCAGCTTTTGATGCAACCTGAAAAGGAAACTTGATACTTAATTTAATGTCACAGTATCTAAAACACGTCACTTGTATTACTATTTGAATGTAGACAAAGACCTATATTGCCACACTTCAGTTATGTTGTTAGAATGTCCTATAAAACTTTTCCATTGAGACTGTCATAAAAGGTTGAATATTGCGCGTCTACTGATATTCATTTGTTATAAAAATTCTTTTACTACCTCTTGTTATATCTTTTGTTTTTTCAAACAAATAGATTTAAAAATTCATGATAAAAGAAAGTATGACATTTACGAAATTTTTTTTTGATCTTTGAACTGACGATTAATCTGTGCTTCTTATTATTATTCTTCTTGTTCTATTTTCTTATCACTTACCGATTAATTTAATCAAACAAACAGTGTTCAATATTTCTTTAAAAGACTTAAGTTACATATTATATATTGTACATATGATGGCGTTTCTCTTTAATGTCAGTATACCAACACATGGATACTGGATTTCAACTGTTTGGTTGAATTATGCATATATGCATTAATACATCACATGCACATATATTTATTTATGTCTGCATAGAAAATATTACTTAATACAGAGGAAGATTGATCATACTAGAAATAAATGGTATGATCTGGGAGAAATCCTTTTCTTTTCACTCAAATAGTCGCTCTGTTAATATAGTAGTTGAATTTATTTGTCAGGTATAGATGTATGTATTCAATGTTCAACATTTGTACCTAAGCAAACCTCATTTATTGTTTTGTATAATTCGTCTGTTTTAATACACGTCTATTACGTGTGTGATACATTTGATGTGGTACACTTTTGGGGTCATTTACTCTTGAAGGTTTGTTTAATGAATCCACTTGTACTTCAACATCGATATTCGATTGTTTCTTGATTATTTCATTACTGTTACATGCTAATGATGGTTTCAGTTGTGAATTCAACACATTTATATCTTTAATATGCTCAGATGACTCAATTGGATGATAATTGGTAGTTTGTGTTGAATTCACTTTAGTATCAATCACAGGTGATGGAGTATTAACTGCAACTGTTGAACATGGCGACATTGACATAGCACGTGTACGATTCATACAATACATACGATTTTGTATAGATCTTGACTTACGTTCAATTTTAGGCATTCCTTTTAATGTATTTTCATTTAATCCTGATGCTGTCCATTGATTCTGTGATGTTGATGAGGATGATAATAATAGTAAATTACTATAATGACCAAGTAAACAACCTGTTCTAATGTTATTGCTATTACTTTTATTATTTTTATTTTCATCAACCTTTATAATGGATTCTTCTAATAACTTTCCTGGAAGACATGTTAAGAATTTACTTCGTGTTAAATTACTCTTTTGTAAATACACCGAATTTGATTCGTGTAAACCAGTGGCTACATCACCGAAAGCACCATTTATCGGTAGAGTTTTTGTTAATTTACGATAATCCGATGCATAAAGTTTCTCTGAATAATCAATTAAATTCATTGAATGCGCTAACAGACCAATTTCACTTCTTATTTCATTCAATTGTGCTGGTTCTAATTCACAAATTTCATTTGTATCCTCTTCTAAACAGTCTAATGACAATAAATGCTGTTCTGATGATTGTTTTTTGGTTAGATTCACTGATAACCAGTAAGGATGCAGTGTAGTGTTAGTATCAATATCCTCCGGAGGAAATAGAAAGTCATGCAACAGCTCTGTTTCTGCCAGTGATGTAGTTAGTAAACGAAATAAACGTTGTGTTTGCCTATCAAGACAACGGCTTCGAACACGTTCAAGCCATAATGTTAACAGATACAAGCATACATCACGATCTGCACCAATCAATGATGCTGCATTGTCTTTTTCACTTCCACTTAGATTATTAATCATTTCTGGTGTTATTTTTTTAAAACCAACTGATGTATAATGTCTGCTAGTCAAAAGATCTGGATTATACTTGATAATTCCTTTTGGCATAAAATTTTGTTGAAAGAATCCTACTTCAATGATATATTCTAATAAACTAATCAAACGATTACCACAATTTGAATAACTCCGATTAACTCCCTTTCTTAACAGACGTCGAAATACTGAACACCAGATATATTTACTGGATTCATCTTTGTCAGTATTGTCAGTATTGATTTGTTTTACATCGTATACGCATGGATTATAAAAACACTGGATACTACTACTGTAGTTATCGTATGTTGATACACGACAATTAATACATTGAATAAAACTGATCACATCAAGTCCAGGTCTATTATTCAATAACTTGATACAAAAATCTAAAATATCAACAAACCAACAAGTTGTTTCTCTTGATGTACCCAGTTTTTCAATGATATACACAGGGGATTGAGGATTGAAATTCGAAGTCATCAGTAAGCTAATTGCTGGAAAAAATTCTCGTCTAATTGCAATTATCGCCGGTTGTGTAGTAGAATATTCATCGTTAATAAAAGGACCAGGTCTAGGCTTAATACGGCGTACATAACATATAGCATTCACGTCTACTTCATTTCTAGCTTTAGCGTGAATACGAGTTCCTGATGAGCTTAATAAAAGCTGTACAACTGATTTCAAACGAAGGTAAATAGCAATTGCCAATGGTGTTAAGTATAATACTGTTTTTATTCCATAAGCTGGCATTCCTGGTCCTGTTTTCGCATCAATATACATTTCAGGTTGATCGTATACTTCAAAATAAGCAGAAAGAAGGGAAGGTTGAATATTTATTAGGTTGACTAAATGATGCAATCCGTTACGACAACGCATTTGATTGATTAACCAACGTGTAACTTCATGATCTTTAGGATAATATTTTGGTAATGATGATGTTGATGAGTTTTTCGAAGTTTGATCACCTGAAATATCATTGGAATCATTTGACATTTGTTGATATCCTTTATGACTACTATTCTCTACTACTGATGTTCTTGATTCACGTTTAGACTGATATGACATTTAAAACAGTGCACAATGAATAAGCTGTAAGTAAAGGTTTAACTGAATACTCGATCGATAATTAATCACTCTTGATTGACTTCATTTGAAAATCCTGACATTTTAATACTGATTATTTTGTTAAGACATTGTACACATAAATAAATTTACTTTTATGCAATTATTTTGGATCTTTTACCCTAGAAAACAAACGGCACTAAAACTTCCTAATGAATTATTAGATTGAATTTTAAAAAGGATAAACAATGTGATCAAATTGAAGGCAATTTTTAAAAGGAATCATAGTGTTTCATTAAGACAATTCAAGGATCTAATAAGATAATGAAAATAAATTTAATATTACTGGAAATTCAAGTTTTCACTTGAACATGCGAACTTGATGGGATGATTTCTCTATACATGTAGTCCCTGGAGCTGTTATTTTGAACTTTCAAAGTAAATTGAAACGTTATCGTAACATGCACTTGTAAGAAGTGATACATACCATCTAACATGTTATATTTCCCTTGAAGATAACGCATAACAGATAAATGAACCACGGACAGAATATTACCATTTCATTGTTGAAAGCCATACCCTGAAAGTCAATAACTGACTGGTGCTGTTACAGCATTCATTTACCGGTCGAGTAGAAGGATTATCAAGTCTTCGTTCGCAAGGATTTCATTTATGTCAATATTGATCACGGAATTCGGTTGGAGAGCAAGGAAGTGTTGCACAGCTGTTTCGTGTTTGTTTGAGACTCTTCATCAGTACGCACTGGTGATCGAAGTCAAAACCTTAAGGGTACAATGTGGGCTCGTTTATCATTCAGTTAATTGGACGGAATCCAATAACTCATAAATTATAATGGAGAAGATTTGTAGCTCAGATGGATTATTTTTATGTAGTTGTGTTCTATGAGCTGGATGGTTTATTTGAGAAGCTTTCATTGCTCTACTAGGCAACATCTTCAGTGCATACTTACTTCAAATTGAATTATGTGCTGCAGATTTTGTCTATGAGAGCTTCGCGAATAAATCATCCAACTACATACTAACTTCTGCCAATTCGCGACATTTAGCGCAACAGCCAGTCAATGTCAATGGCGAGTATTTCTCTACTATTCACGACTTATCATTGCAACTTCATCCTGCAATTAGTCAGAAGAGAAACTAGTACTCATCTATTTCCATAGTGATAAACGGAGCTTTCAGTAATAGTGAAAATGATAGTACTTAAATGAGGAACTTGTAGTACATATACTCTAGGGATTCAACGGATTATTCCTAAAGGATGCGTAGATGTGAATGACGTGAGGTGATCTACTCAGATTGTTCAATAAATTAGTCGCATGAACTTTGAGTGTATTTCAAAGTGTGTATAAAATCGCTCACTTTGCAAAGGATCACATAACTTTTACAAAATCAATAAGTGATATATGTTTATTGTGTTCACCTTCCCCTATTTCACTGACAAAGAGAGCTTTTGGTTGAGCTGAGGATATTACAAAATAAACAAATGAATAATCACAAACTTGGTTATACAACTCAGTTCTATCCTGCTAGCCAATTATCATTTATTATATTAATATTCCCTTGGGTCCCAAGTATAACACAGGGCTTCAACAGCACATCTCCACTTTGTCCTGTTCTCTGCAGTCCTCTTCAGTTTGCCCCACGATTGCCCAAGAACTTTCATCTCCATATCACACTCGTCATTTCCCATTTGAGGGCCTGGTGTGCGATGCTACCCAACAGCCTTCTCAGTGTGTGTCCAATACGTCTTCATTTTCTACGGGATATTTTTTGTGAAATAGTTTTTTGATTGGTTTTGTCCCCAGAGTTCCCTTATGCCTATCGTTTCTTGACCATTCGGTATTCAGTATGGAGCCTTCTCAGCCGGTTGTTGATAAAAGTCTGAAGCAGCAAGTTGTTCTTTGTGCTGAAAGTAGAGAATTTTCAAACTGATTTCAGATTGATGAAGGTTTGTCTTACCTTTCCGATCCTGGTTTTAACATCCACATTCGTTACTTCTGTAGTGAAGTGACCTTCTTTCAAATTTATCCCTTTCGTAGTCACTGGTACTTGTTGTTGTTTCTTGCCGCGTTTCTTCATCACGACTGTAGCAGATGTCCTCACGCCATTATTACAAAAGGTTTGGAAAAAAGGCTAGATATCTTGTCAAGCTGCCAAAGAAGGGCGACTTACGCATCACTCTGAAAGAACCGGCGTGGAATCATGTTCTTGTCCAAGCGAAGTAAAATACTAAGTCGCATCATCCTTGAGAGAATAAAGGATACACTGGATACAGAACTCCGCCCAACGGAACAAGCTGGACTCAGGAAAGGCAAATCGTGTGCCGATCAAACTGCAACTCTACGCATCGTCATCATAGAACAAGGCATAGAATGGCAGCCAAAACTCTCTCTACCTCAACTTCATCGAAAAGGGCTTCGACAGACAGCGTTGACCGAGAAGCTATTTGGAAACTACTTCAACACTACGGTGTACCTCAAGTCTTTATCAATCTCATCCAACAACTATATGACAATTCCACATGTCAAGTGATCCACAACTGGGAACTCAATGAGGTGTTCGAAGTGCATACAGGAGTAAGACTAGGCTGGCTGCCTGTTATCACCAATGATATTCCTAATGGTAATGGAGTGGGTTATGCGTCAAACTGTGGGAAGCGAGGAGACAGGAGTACGCTGGACGACCGATGAGAAGACTCTGGAAGATCTGGATTCCGCAGATGATATATGCCTAATGTCACACAAACTCGAAAACTTGCGGGTGGAAACCAACAAACTGGCTGAAGAGGCAGGCAGCGAAGACAGAACTCCAAGTGAACATAGAGAAGGTGATGAAGGTACCCAAGCACCAACAGGAACAACCAGCATCAATCACCATCAACGGGAGAGATTTGACAGAGGTTACCTCCTTCAATTATCTAGGAAGCATCGTTTCAACTACAGGCGGAACGAATGAAGGTGTCAATGCCAGTCAGAATCAGAAAGGTGAGATACGGCTTCATCAACCTGAAACTAATTTTGAAATCTGCACTGAACATAAGGAATAAGATCCAAAATTTCAACACTAATGTCAAGTCGATCCTTCTATAAGGGTCAGAAACTTGCACTGCGTGTCACGAAAATGACTTCCAACAGCCTGTTGCAGACTTTCATCAACAGCTCCCTTCGCTGGCTCCATACTGAATATCAAATGGCGAGAAAGAATAAGTAACAAGAAACTGTGGGGACAAACCAACCAAGAGCTGATCGCTCAACAAATATGTAGGAGAAAGTGGAGATGGATTGGGTATACATGGAGGAGGCTATCGAATGACGTCGCGCGCCAGGTCCTCGAGTGGAATCCCGATGGGAAGCGACGAGTGGGTCGCCTGTGCGAGGGTAACATGGAGATGAGAGATTGTGGGCAATCGTGGTCCAAGTTGAAGAGGACGGCAGAAGATAGAACAAAGTAGAGATGTGTTGTTGAAGCCCTATGTTCCACTCGGAACTCAAGGGAATAATAATAATAGTAATAATCTTAATCACTTCCGTCTTCCCTATGTTCCCTTGAAGTCTTGCTTTTGCTGCTTATCCTCCAGTTTGTTTGTTTTTCGCTTGTAAGCCTTAGAATTTGTGACATCAGACAGAAATCGTCCACGAAATCTACATCTTATCAGTCCAACGTATTTCTGCCTTTTCGCTCCCCACACTCGGTGCGCTGCAATCAGAAATATCATCTACGGTAGTAGATAGCCTTGTCTCACTGCAGTCTTAAATTCATAGGCTTCGCTGAGTTTTCCGTTGTGTTGAATGATGTTGAGCATTCCATAGTGCTAAATTAGTAGTTAGCCAATAGTTACTAATATATAATAGTCAATCTTAGAATAAATCTTAAGATTTAGCCAGTTGAAAAAGTTTTATACGCTTTAGATATGGATCCTAGGGTTATCTAAATACAGGTTTTATCGTAAGGTAACAAATGGATTTTCTTTCCAATAAGACAAAAAGTTCTCACTCAGTCCTTTTGTAAATTTCCTTGAATCTGTGATACTGTTTATCAGAGTGGAATTCCGATAATTGCATGACAAAATTACTAGACTTAGTTATAGTTAGCGACTGCATACTTGTGAAACAACAACTACCATATTTATACCAGCCAAATGAAAATAGCTTGTTTACTTGCAGGAACTTATGCCAGTAATCAAAGTACATCAGCAAGCAATGTAAAAGTAAGGTGAATTAATTAGGGGAGTTACAGACCTCTTTCAACATGAGTCAAAATAGTATTTATCAAATATATCTAACCAAAGCCTAATCTCTAGTCACATTACACCAGTACTTTTTTTATTTTAGGTAGTTCAGGAAGAAATCAGCTCCCAGCATGTAGAAAGCTTAGAAGAAGTGACCAACCACTCGCTGTTATTTTCAGAGCTCGTGGATTAGAAAGATTGCCTATATTAAAACACAAAATAAATTCCTAAACTATCTCACTGTTATTATTTATTTTTAACGTAAGTTTGATTTTCCCTTTAAATGATTGCACCAAAACATTCGGCTTCAGTTAATGTGTCGACTCCTTGTGTGGATGCTTGGACGATGTCTGAGGTTTAACTTGAAATAATTTGGTGGATGGTGGCTGGCAGTGGAATCCAGGACGCGCACTTCATCCTGGACTCATCATCTGGATGTACCTGCAATTCATATGCACAAATAGTCATTATTTCTAATCTAAAACGTGAATTAAATACCCTTTGGATCTGTTAACAGGAACGTGGATCATATCATTTTAGAAAATGTACCACGAAATCTACTTGTACGTGCTATTGAGAAGGCATAACAATTAATACATGGTTGTGTAAACTATAATTCCGTAACCGAATATAATATGGAATCTCTTGTTGATGGCGACGAATTAGTTGAACCAAACATAAAATAATGAAAATCTGCAATTAAAAGCCTTCTTTGAGCTGGTTGGTTTAGCCGCGAAGCTTTCGTCGTCCTTCCGGACAACGCTTTTAATTGCAAATCATCCACCTGAGCTACAAATCTTCTCTATAATGAAAATCTATTGATTCACTTTAGCTAGGTACTTTTGGTTAATAGTAAAGCCGCCAGGTTGAATAGCTACATCGCTGAAATCCCTCAATTAGCCTGTTTTTATGAGTTTCGGATTATTTAGACTAGTCAACAAAGCAAAACCTAGTGAATAACGTTAACCTGATGAATCGCATCCTTATTTATTAGGTTAATGGTATAATAAATGATTCTGGGCTATTCAAATATGTTAGAATAAGCGTGTCCATTTCCAATTCTCTAACAACCTTGTGTTTAAACAGCTAAGCTACATTCAGTCCTTTGCTACTATCTCTGAATGGTATAATCCACAAGTTGCTTATGAGAATATTTGATGCGTGCTACCTATGGAACAGAAAAGCTTCATGATTAGTCCCATTTTCTACGTTGGCAGCTGGTAAATTTTGCTTGAAAATCATCCTTTAAGTCTAGTCTGTTTAGTCGTTAAAGTATATAAATAACTTATGATGGATGTATAATAGAGCCATAGTTTCAAGTATTGTTCTTGATAATAAAGCATCTCAAACTAACTTAGAAGAATTGACTGAATGGTTCAAAAAGAATGATACGACTTTACTTCGTGACCGTTCGCAGCTGGTGGCATAAGCTTTTGCACTAACGAAAATAAAGACTTAATCACATCCAAACAGGTCCTGTGTAGTCAACTTTAGAAAATGCGTTCCTGGGAATCCAAGGTATCGTGAAGCTAGTATGTTTGCTATCTGAAGTATTCCTAAAGAAAGGAAATTTGAACAAATTTGCTACTTGAGAAGTGCCAACCGCCTATATGCTTCTATCCACACCCACACATCTGTTAATCACCCACTTCACTGTTTATATTCGCTGCTAATATTGTTCTACATAGCTATTCTCTTTTAACTCTGTGGCCGGAGGTGACGATTTAAGCCAACAAAATACCAATCTTAATCTCTGACAACTTTAGGGCGAATATATCAACGCATAAATCAGTCAAAACTCACCGTTCGTTGTGTGCTAACTCCTTAATACATAAATAGGACCTATTTAATTAGTCACTTAATACCAAATGACTATAATGTTGAGTCTGGAAAACTCATGCTGCTGTTTTAAAAAGTCATAGGGAAGGTTCCAAACGAGTTTCTGAGGTATGAATTTCAATAAGCTCTAAGGAGGAAAATGTTCAGATGCTGACAGGTTCAAGTGAGAAAGCTAACAGATGCAAAAGCTTATCAGAGGTACTCGTAGAACCATAAATCAAAATGGCTGCTGTATTTTAGAAATTTGTCCTCATTAGTTCTTGCTTCTAAACAACAGTAAACTCAGACATATATGATATCTTGTCAATTTGTGACCGAAAATATCAACATAATGAAAACAGACAGAACATCTCAAGTTATCCACGGGGAAGAAGAGTGTACGATTTCTATTAATTCAAAACGCTTGTGTGAAATTCGACGAATGTATGTATGTCCTAGTGACTAAAATCGAAAACAAGTAACCGTAAAATCCCTGTGTCCAGCTTATCGATGATAAACTACGTGGTTTTTATCCGTTTGGGGTTGTGAAGCAACACAGACAGACAAACTGTCGATTTTACATCTGAAAAACATCCTAAAGAGCTTCTATGGATTTTCAGCATCATCACAACCTTGTAAGAAAAACAATAATAGTATATTGCTATGAAAGGTATATAACTACTCCATATTCTCTACAGTAGTGTCAAGACCATAGATATGGTAAAGGAATGTGTAGAACCACAGGTCATTATGCAGCACCTAATTATTTTATGGTAAGATTCCTTTTGGAAATGCTTCGGATTTGACATATGCGTCTCAAATTCGGTTAAATCGAAATATATTTGAAGAGATATTACATGACCCCCAATTAAAAAGGGAATACTATAAGAAATACATTCTCACCACACACGAGTGATGAAATCTACGTGTACTGAAGCATAAATCCGCCATACCAATGCAGCCCATAATTAGTAATGAAAAACTAAGAGACGAAGTAGAAAAATATATGAGGTGTCAAAAAACATATTTTACATGCATTTCGTAGCATTAACGCTGTCAAAAACTGGTAGTGAGGAAACTTTCTCAAAACTTTTAAAAATATCAGTTTTGAGGCTGCTTGCCCACCGTCGCTTCTTTTCTCGATGCATTTTGCAATTCTACCGTATCGCACTCATCAGCTGGTAGTTGGACATACCGTACGATAGACCCTCTGATGAAGCAGTTTTTTACGGACAACTACAAAATTATCAAATAATGTGAAGAAATACCATATGTGGATGCTTTTCAGGGTCAGTGACGCTAATGTCAGTAAGCTTGAAATTGTGGTATTGATCAACAGAATGTAGGGTGCCGCATATGCTACAAAAATAGAAACCCACAAACCAGTACTTACCACAGGTCGTTTTTCAACTCTATTAAAACATCTTTTCCAACCAGTGTCTTAAAGAACGAGAAAAATAGCTAAAGAAGTCACAACAATAAGAAAAACCTACCATTCTTGGTTGGGCTTGAATGTAGGTTATGAATATGACCTAAACATTTCACTGAATTAAACAACACTCATGGAATACAATTGAAGATAGTAGGGAGTAAGCAATCAGTCATAAATATGATACGTCCTTCTCAAAAGCCAATATAAACGATGTTAATTGTCTTTAGTCCTCTTTATAGTGATGAGGTAAAGGTTCACAATTTCCAGTAGGTTTCTAGGAAGATACTCCTTTCCCTCTCCTGCTATTGCTTCGAAGGATGTCAAGGCGAATATTATGGGAATTTGGTAATATCTAATATCTAGTATGCAATGTTCAGGTAGCAGGGCTACTGTGATTTGAATAGATTATTACTCAGGTTAATTGTTCATTATATTCGAAAAGTACGATGGTGTAAATAAGTATAAATGTGCAAACATTTAGAATGGAAAACGAACAGACAAATACACAGACAATAAAAAATAAATGACCAAGAGGTAAATACATGGTTAAACAGTGTGACTTAAGGAAGGAAGACTATGCAGGATTGAAGGACGAGTTTGATCGATTAACTGTCAGTGGAATATATGACACGATGGTTACACCATAATTTCGCTGAAAAGAAATTATTTCAGATGCCCCCTGTTAGTTACTATATGATTATCCGACATTTCTCTTAAACATTCCACATAATTTACTGTACTCAGAGCTGCGGACACACACTTCCACCAGTGGCAGCCTCGAAACTAAAAGGAAAGAGACTACGTTCGAGTCGATACAGTTTAGTTCTCAACCTTCCTCTAACTGCCAATGGAGGGTCTGTATCGCCTAGTAGTTCGATAAATATAGGTTTATTGCGGTCACTTGTAATCTTACAATCGATGATCATTTCACTATTTAGCCGGCAGTGACTAAATGTAAAACGACCCAATTTTCTCTCTCTTTCATCAAATGGTTTGTGCTGATGGCCTATGCTTTCTTTGACCACTCTTGACTGAACCCTTTTCAGTGCAGCACAGTACTGAGGAGGAGAATATAGCACTCCTTAGTTTAGGATTTTAAAGTAATGAGACCGTCGGTGCGAAGGTGACACGGAGGAGATTGTGTGTGGAGGAGGAGGAGATGAGAGATTGTGGGCAATCGTAGTCCAAGTTGAAGAGGATGGCAGAAGATTGGACAAAGTGGAGATGTGTTGTTGAAGCCCTAGGTTCAACTCTGGATCCACTTTAATAGCAATGGTAACACTCTGTGAAATTCACCGTCAATAAATACATCCTTCAGCAGCCGTATGTTTTCTATTCTCCTTTCGCTGACTGGGATGGAACAAAGAGCATCTTTGCCACCAGTTTAAGTGGGCCAGGCTAAAGAGTCATTAGGTGGTGTGGCCAGCAATCACGTCAAGCATATCATGTAAATTGCTGTTGCCTATGTAAAGGGACCTTACTGATATTACTCCATGACTTATCTTATATATTGTGTAACTGAATAACTGTAAATGTGCTTACTCTACACAAATATTATACAAGAAATCGATGGTGCAAGAAAACGGGCGTTCCTCATATATAAACGAGTGAGGATATATATTATGATTGCAAAATACATATTGCAGCACCCAGCTACACAAAGAACGCATTCACACTTTGAAACAGTGTCAAAAAACTATTCCTAAATAAATCACCGAAAAAAGATAAGCAGACCCCAGAGTCCCATAAAAAGCAACCACTTGGATGAAACCAAACCAATCAAGCCTCATTTCAAGTCAAGCAGACCGCGAAATCAGGCATCAGATAATGTAAGTGGCACTACGTAAAACTGTGGACGTTCCATATAGTCTCACGGATCAAAGTGCAACAGTGACTGCCTAGCTGGCAAACTTTCGTGAACGAACAACTAAACACAGCAAGACAGCGCGCCGAAAGGCGTGAATGCTTGACCGAGAAACTTCAGCTAAACGAGTCGACCTAAACAGAGAAAGTCAGCATCCAATGTTGAATGAATAACACTTTAGTCTAATAATTTTGAGGAATCATTTATCGCCACAGAGGTATTCATATGAGCCAGCAAATGTATCTGTCACTGGCTTCATCTGGATGAAGTGGCAACATCCCAGTTCTAGGAAAGAGGATGTGCACTTTCATTCGCAAACTTAATCATCTGGGACGTAGCAGTCTATTGAACATGCTTCACAGAAATATCCCAACCAAAAACCTGATTCGCTCACTCAGGGGTTAGTTATACAATACCGTAGGTTACTGGTTTTTTGAAGTTATTTATCACACATTCTTTTTCTAACTATTCGCTCTTCAAATTTCTTCACTTTAAGGTATTTATATACTGATTGAAATGGTGGATGGTTGTTTGCCCTAACCCTTGCATAGTAGCAGGGTTAAGGAGAGAATGCTGTACCCTGGAATCCCATTCACTTAAGTATAAGGAGTTGAAATGCCGCAGAGGAATGCTTTTTATCACAGGCTTTGTTGAATTTCTCACTGGAGAGATAATGATAAATTGAGAGTTTAGAATTAAAAGAAAGGCGAGTATTATATCAGTGCAATCGTGATGATGTTAACTGTAGGTGAAAACCTTTTGTTTCGGTTGTATGGAATTTGTACTCACTAGTGAATATCGAACAGCACGTGCTAGATAGCGCGCATGTTTTGTGTCTGTTAAATGTCCAATCTAGAACAAAAGGTACAGAGTCACCACTTTGCTATGGCTTTTTATAACTGTTTAAAGTGTTTTCTAATCTGAATGACATCCGTTTCACAATAATTCTATGCTACTTTACTCCTGTCATCACAATGAACTAAAAAGTGTGAAGTTTGTGTCAATTTTTGCTAGAAACGTCTCGTTTCGGATGTTCTTCGCATACCATAGTATGTATTATTTCGTTATAAATTTTGAGGTAGGGTGATCATGAGTTTTAGAAGCCAATTTGGGATTGCCAATGGGATTTGCATCTTTGGAATATACAGGATACAGTAATAATCTGTGCTATCCTAACCTCAGCCTACATGATGTTGAAGAGAAACAAAATGATTATTGAATAAAATGATGCCTATTAAGATTATTCGGAGAATGCGCACTTTGCTTAGGATCTTAGTTCACATTTACCATTTCATCACTAATTCCACACTGCCATACTACACAAAAGGGTTCGGTTCCGCATTATTATTAGTTTGGATGGATTCCGTTAGTAAGTCGTCCCTTCTAATCTAGTTGTCTATGAGTAAGCCTAAATTTCTCCAATTCCTTTGTCACTGTATTATTTTCACCCTGATCCTACTCATACATCTACCTTGATTATTTTTAGTATGTTCTCGGCTTAGATACTTTTGCAACCTTTTAACTTCATTTATTGCCGGTGTGTCACATGTAAATTTTTATGTAGCTGTAGCGACTCTTTAGCTTTTGGAAATTTGTTTCTTTTGCCAAGGTGTAAGTCGGTGTAACTCAGCAAATAATACTACATAGTAGCGAAATGCTTATCATTTCAGAATAAATCATGAAGCTGTTTAGGAGCTAATCAAGTATTATTGCATGATTTGACGACAGTGACTTGTGTTTGTCACTTAAATTAGTGCTCTAAATTTAATTATTGACGAACTAAAGGATATGAACCTGGTTACGTTCGATGTTTCTTGCGGCGTAGTACAAACCCAAGAAACGCAGATAATGTTATCCTTTGTGATGAAGACACCAAACTAATGTATTCCTCCGAACACGTGAACTTGACATAAGATTTTCCTCTGAAACAAAAGGTGGTGCCACAAAATCAGTATACACCGGCTCAGTGAATGTCTATTTGAAATGTTTGAATGTGACCGCTTAACTTACTTGAGAGTCTGCATCATCACTAGTAGTCTTTTGTGTTAGCGATGTAGTCGGTAATAATGAAGTTAAGTAAGAAGGGAAATCAATTGATGAGGCTGTGGAACTGCGTTGATTGGAATAGCTAAGAAATGCATTATGTATACTAAGCAACCATCTTGCAGGATCAGGTTCATCAGCTGGAGCTGGAAGTGAGTAGAGGTTGCTAGGCGAAAACAAGTGACCGACCTATGAGGCGTTTCACTGTTGACTAGCCATTTTCGGGATGCTAATAATCTACCCATAGAGAATGTTGGTGGTACGGGTCACAATCGTTTGCATTGCTTCAGAGGTATTCACTCTTTATCATCTTCTGGGTTCGGAAACTCCTCAGTTGACATCTTATTACCCTCTTCGTACATTTTTGTTCAGTGTGGTTTTGTAACATTCCTTTCCTCTGCACTTAAGTGTACTTATCTGAAGTGTCGTATTTAGAATCGTCTCAGTTTTGTTACAAGTTCACTGTAAGAGTTCCAAATATTACCCAAAAGCTTACGGATGTTCGCTGTACGCCTGAAGTTTTGTAAAAAAACTACGTTTGCATATAGTAGCGATTTTCTGTATTCTCTTCGATAGCTACATTTCTCTGCATTATAATTCACAATGTAGAAACCGATTTTCTTCAGACATTTCGGTGATAGTAAATGACAACTTTGGGTATTGGTCAAAAGTTAGTGAGTCTCACTTGAGTTAATTTCGAGGTATGGACGTAGCCACCAAACTGCATTCGAGGCAAATGCTAGGATAGACTTTATTCAAGGCTGATATTATTCAAAACTCGTCGACTAATTTGAAGGTCTGATATTTCCATATGAAATTATAACGATCTGGAACTCGCTTTTTGTCGACATTGTGTATAAGCATCCCGTTTTTGTTGCTTGTAAAAATGTGATAATGCTTTTGACTATTAATCATGTATGTTCCAAGAAAAAACAGTGCTGTCATCGCTTTAGTAGATTAAGTCAAACTTTCGGCTATCTATCTGACCTTTATTCTTTCAGATGCATCGTTTGCCACGAAGATTATGTGAACAGTATCCATTTTTAATGCTGAGCAGCTATCTGATTGTTTGGTTCAGCGTAATTTGCCTGGGTGGTGTCTATTCTTTACTGTCGCCGACTTTACATATACCGAGCCCTTGTCCAGTCTAAAGTTTTATGTCGGCTGAATTAGGGTTGCCGGAGAAAAGCCGAGTGGAAGTCAACATATTCTCTGTAAGCTGTTTCTATGAGATTGTTGCTCGCTAGTATAGTGATCTGTCGGCTCAATTAGCAATTAGCATAAAGTGGAGAATCTTTGCACCGTCATTAGCAAATGCTGGTATGCAGTTATACAGTGTGAAATTTCTTAATGTCGGCAATGATAGCTAAAGCTTCCAGGTATACTATGATTAAAGACTTTTGGTTTAAGTTGTCACATCGGTTGTGTACATAACTGGAAACTTAATGGAATGAGTCATCAAGATTTCAGATTGAAAGCCACCGAATTATTGCTACACATCTTTTTCCCGTTGGTCAGATCATGAGTTTATGTAGGTGCATAGTGTTCAACAATGCGTTGTAGTCTTTCAATGAACTTCTTTTACATGTTTTTTTATCTCGTGTCTAGTCAGTTTTATTAACTTTTTACGTGGTTCCTGCAATTTTACAATGATATTGATTTTTTTGAATCCAAGAATAAATTTATTTATTGAATACCTCCTTGTCTGTCTTCATATCTCTAGTCTTCGTAAAAGTTCGTTCAGTGTGTTAACTGCCTCTGTAAATGTTTGTTGGTTTAGGCTCTAGTCTTGCAGTTAGTGGTTAGGGGTTAGTACCACTGGAGCTCCCAAAATAGATGTGGTTCATAACCAGATGCAGGAATATGCACCTAGTTTGTGAGTAACACTTTCACTTCTCATCTTTCACCTAATTTTCTAATTGTCAACTTTTTAATATTATTTTGACATGGTTGTATTATTTGAAGCTGTAGTCGATTTCGTACATTTTAATGCTCATTCTCACATTTTTTTGGCAGACTGATAGTTCGAAACGGAAAAGGCATCATAGATACTCCCGAACAACCCTCCAGCAATTAAAACCTGTTGGACAAGAAACTCGTTTACCGATCAATGGAGTTCTCAGTCCAAATAAATCGTCAACAAGTAATGTATACTCCCCGCACTGGTCCAATGAAGAGCTAATTTCAGGTGTCAAAAATGGAGGACTCCTATCGGTTAGTGTGGCCTTTGTCAGGTTTTCCAAGTTTCTTACCATTATCTATTGGTCAGCATGCTGTACTTTATGCATGTTTATGTCAATATTTATGAAATTATATCAGTTTAGTTTCTTGTGTACCATAGTGACAATAAAATCAGTACTAGTTGCTATCCCAATTTATATTCACAGTTGAATAATATTAAGTATTGTTGTTAATCTATCTTTCGAAAATCTAGTATGAGAATATGTTGCTAGATGTTCTGAGGCTACATAGTGCTTGGTTCAGGCACTGGATTTTCGGTTAAAATCAATAATCCAATGATATACTTATGTAGTGACCAAGAATTCTGTTGCGCTGTGGTTGCTAAAAGTATCAGTGACTTCTTTAAAGAGGTTATTATAGTTTTCTGTTTTATTTTATGAAGGTTAACACTCATATAACTCCAGTTTTTTCAATCTCTCCATATTCTTGTTGTATTTTTCTCTAATATTTATTTCCGTAATTGTTTAGGGTAATTTGCGGATTAATCCAAGAAGCTTTGAAGATGGATACATAAAACATCCGGTAACTGTAATTATAACTAAACTTATTGAAATTTGAAAGGTTGGTGACGGTGACGTATATATTTCAACTTTGGTTAACAGGAACCGAGCTTTACCTAATGATATTGTTGCTGTTTTATTGGAACCTAAGCGTAACTGGAGGGTATGTTATGCAAGCGTTTTGCGTGTCTTCATTATTTTGAATATATTTATTTCTCATACTTAAATAATGATGACATGGTTTTAAGGTATTAGTTTCGGCATATAGAGGTAATGTTCTACCAGTTTAACTGTAAACTTTAATTATTGATTTAGTTAGATTTTCAACCTGGTTGCTTTCCTGCATATTACTCGATTTCAGAAGGCCATTATTTACAACTGGAAACTACTTGTTCTATGAAAGTGTTAGATGGGAAGTGAAAATGGATTAATAAGTTTATGAGGTAGCTAGGACGTGTTGCAAATACCAAGCAACCTTGATTCTCAGTTAGTTATGTTGCCTGATGTAGGATAAAATTAGGAGTGTTAAAGTTGGTAAAACCAAAACATGTCAGCCTATAGAGAGCTGTTCACTGTTATTCTGAACCTTACCTGGATGACATCCTCAGGATTTTAAAAATTAATGATTGGAAACTTTTATATATGAATCAAAACTGTTCACCATGTAACGGATAAACTGATAGCCCGAAAGCAGAAGTATGTATTAGATAGAAATCCAACTTTGGAAAGGCAACGGTGAAGCCCTTACAATCTACCTATCTTTCGTGCCTATGCATTGCTCTACCTTTCGTGGCAGAGAATTGACTCCAGATGTGTTGGAAGTGCCATACCATCTGAATGAATTTACCAGGAACTTAGTGTATCATTGTACTCAAACGCGCATACATACATAGTGTTTATCAGTGGGATATTTCTTTGGTTTTTACACTTATGGTGTACAATCTCTCAATGTGAAGTAATAATAATAATACCTGTATTCTAAACAGTGTTTATATAATGTACAGCATTTTCAACGGGGTTTATTTCTTAAGATTTTCTCTTTGTCCAGGATATCCAAATACAATTTTAATCGAAAGTAGATTGTATAATACAGTTCTATCTGACCTGAAGCACAAACCAATTAATTATGATATGTTTTCTTTGTCGCCTTCAAGAAATTGATGACATTTTTTTGAATGCCAACTACAGCTAGTTCAGAAGTACATTTTATGAACCAAGGAAACCACTCAAAAATAGTAATCACACATGTATTGGGATAAGCTGCCATCGAGGATAACGCTTTTTCGCATGTTTAGTAGGAACTTGCGTAGCTGCAGGTTGTAACTTTTTTAAATACTCGCCAGAGTAAAAAATACCATTAGAGATCATATTTTACTAGATTTAAACAAGGTTTTAAGCGGGTCGCCAAGGATAATAAACATAAAATAATAAACTCAAAGATAACTACTTAAAAAGATTGCCTTATACATCAAAAACGCGTTGACGTTTGTCATTAAGTCTTATTTATCAAGAAAACTGACCAAAGAAATTATGGTAGTACTTGCATTGTTGTAAAAGTGAGTTAGTATGACTTATTTTTTAGCTCCTCCGTAATATTACTAAATATGTTGATTATCATATTCCCTGATTTCATTGATTGACACACAAACAGAATCACTGAAATGAGAAAGAATTATTTTTGTATCGTACCACCTTTCACATACATACGTTAAATTTTAAAGCTGCTTCAAGCAGTAACGGAAATTGATCATCACTTCTTATCTCTATCTGGATAAATAAAATGTTTTTTTTCTTTTAGGTGTATGATTCTTTTGTTGATCAAACAGCCACGACAGAAACTGAGGACCTCAAACAGACCAAGAAGCCGAGATATGTCACTGTGGAGCAATTCATCAAAATTCAACCCGAAGGTTTGGAAAAGGTATATTTGTCACGGAATTCTTCTTATTTTCTCTAGTTATGCATAGCTCCTTTTCGTGTCTTTCAGTATGATCATCAACTAAGCGGTCTCAATAATGTTTATTGGTTGATTAATATTTATTATAGCTAGTTGAAGTTCTTGTCAACTTTTCTTTGTGAAAGGGCAGAATGAGTGCAGAATGTTCCACACCATACATCATAAAATAATCTTAAATTAAGCATTTAGGTTTGACAGTGATCACAATTTTCAACGGGATTATTTAAGTATACGCAAAACATGATGAGTCAACACCTATCTTACTTTTTATTATATTCCTTTGCTTTCCCAATAGAATACAGGGCCTCAAACTTGAGCTATAAAGTCTCAGTAGCAGAGATGTCTAGTTTTTATTATGTTGGGTCGCTAGACTCACGCTGAATCTCTCCTCTCTACTAGACTTACTACCGGGTGGACGAGATTAAGGAATCGGTCGGTTGGGGATCAGACCCGTACCACATAATCACGCCTTAATTATTTAAGGTTTTGAAAATGTTTAAGTTAAAAATATCAGATGATAGTCACAATTAGGAAGGAAAACGAGGGTGGTTGAATACTTCCTTATTTTATTAAATGATGTGTTATTGTCCGGAGTTCGATCCCCGGCCGACGCACCCCTGATATCGGCCTGCTAAATTTGGGCTACCGATATCACATGCTGAAAATTCCATACTTGTATCAAAAATACTGTGTGGAGTCAAGCTATAATAAAATTTAAAAAAATTCTTTATTAAAGAAAATTTTCTAATTATAGTTTAGAGGCTGAGGGTGTTGATGTTCACGGATAGTGTGATTTTATACTGACGCAAGATCTAATACCCACAACTTCTATAGTATTCGTTTCGCGTAGACCAAAGGCAAAACAAAACACCAAAATTGACCATCGCAATTACAAAGTATATTTCTAGACCAAATTGGAGTGCGAGGTTGATTGCTTAACTAGCTAGGGATCGTGCACGAACACGAAAGTGTGCCAAATGGCATGTATGCTTGACTGCAAACCTTCAGCTAAACAAGTCGACTTAAACAGTGAGGATCAGCATTCGATATTCAATGATGCATGCTGTGGTTAATAATTTTGGGGAATTACCTACTGCCACAATAGCATTGTTAATGAACAAATAACGTTAGGATACCAGTAGTTACTTTTGGTGTTCGCATACTTCTAAATCAACCCGCATTACAACCTATATACTAGACAATTTTGAAATCAGTTATTGAATGTTCAAAAGTGTCAAATTAATTTTTCTGTGTACATGAGAACTTCAGTCAGATAAGTTGTTCGCATTGGTAGATAGACTGCATGATGCGACACTCGTGCTTGTGTAATATTATTCTGTTTTTGATAAACTAATATTTACTTCTAATGTGATTGTGTTCATTGTTTATTTGTAGTTTGTATGCAAAAGTAAATGTGCGTCGGTGGCATAGCGGTTAGGACGCTCGCCGACCATGCACATGGTCCGGGGTTCGACCCCCGGCCACGGACGCACTCCTTTACCTCGCTAAGCCAGAAATAATGCTGGTGAAGAGGAAAGGTTGGGCATGAGGCTAGCAACCCCATCCAGTAAAATAAACACTGCTATAGAAATTTCAAGCCTCTAGTTTGAAGCCCTATGTTCCACTGGGAACGTGAAGGGAAAAAAATGCAAAAGTAAATTCATTAGTTATTGTAAGAAGTAGAGACTAATTTTTTTTAAGAATATTTTTCATCATATTTTCACTGATCATTTTACAGCTTATAGGTGATCGCCTTGCAAAACAGATAAAACAAGATCTGGATTCGCCTACTGATCCTGTTGACTGTTTGCCAAGTGAAGACAATCAACTAACGTATGCTGCATGGTGGTCAGTTATTCAGAGAACTGGTCGTGTTGTTGGAATTTTACAACGTTTACATTCACGTGCATTTATAGGTCATCTTCAACTTCCTAATAATGGACAAACACCACAGAAACCTTCACATACTAATCAGGATTCCAATTCGAAAATTGTGATTTCCGAAAAATGTGATAGTCAAAAAGACGATCAGTCTAATACTACTACTACTACTAATAATAATAGTACATTACCTAACTGGAGAAATGCTGTCCTCATACCTACAGATGCACGTTTACCACGGGTTGTTATACCTCGTGAATCTTGTCCAAAAGGTTAGTGTGGATTAGTTTGAAGATTAGAGAGATTTATTCTCCAGTTAAACTAGTTTTAGTAAATTAAAACAATTAGTCCCTTTGATAAATTTGAATAAGGCATTTAGAAGACAAATTTCGCGAGTGATATCATTTCGTAGTTTCTTTACAACCGCTTTACAACTAACATGGTTAACAATAATAAAATAAAGATCATGACAATTACTCAGTTAAATAAAAAGCAAAAGTACATACTGATCACCAATCAATTTAAATAGGTCATGTAGTCCATGATAGGCGAAGATTGAAGTCTATTGTTTTTTGTACACACAGTTTAGGCTGTATGTGATTAATCCAAAGTGCTTTCATCACCTTTAACAACCTTGATTTAGAGTTATGTGAAACAATTGTGAAGCAGTCACTAATATTGATTTTGTGACCTGACATTGATAAGTGTTTTGCAATGGATGATGATGGATTTCTATTCAGATTACTCGCACTGTGATTTTCTATATGATTTAGTAGCCATTTTGGAACATGTTCTTTTCGACGACGTTGGAACATTCTATTAGTTCTACGTATATATGTGTCACCGCAACTGCAGGTGAACTTGTACATACAGTTTGATTTAGAGTCCACAGAATTTCGTCCTTTAATCGTAGGTACAGGGATCGAAAATGTTCAGCAAGTGAGAAAAAGAGATGGTCATTAGTATGTACTTTTGCTTTTTATTTAACTGAGTAATTGTCATGAACTTTATTTTACTATTGTTAACCATGTTAGTTGTAAAGCGGTTGTAAAGAAACTACGAAATGATATCACTCGCGAAATTTGTCTTCTAAATGCCTTATTCAAAGTAGTTTTAGTCAAGCTTTTTACTCTTTTACAGTTACCTTTTTCTATGCTCCATCATTCAAATGACACTAGACTGTTTATTTTGTATCATTGTCTTAAGAATAAAACTTGTACACTGTGGTAGAGAGTATAATTCCATTATAGGTAAATATTACTGCATAACACTGTGAGACATTATCAAAATAAATTTTACCCATAATATGTTTACTTTGTGTTTATTTTTTATTTCAGAATTTCAGAGACATCCAGAAAGTTATAAAAATGTCCGTTTTGTTGGTCGCATTACTGATTGGAATGACAATAGTATATTTCCCAAAGGGTAGGTAGGCAATTACTTCTAATATTTACAGCTTACTAACCTTGTATGTTTAATAACGTATATTTAAAAAAATTATAGTTCATCTGCTACTCGGTTGAAAACATTGTTTTTGTTGGTCATTTTCATTAAGATTGCAATTTGTGGTAATACCTCGTAACTGTGATTTTACAACAATTATTGTATGCTGTCCTTCATGAGTTATCAGCCGTTATTACTTCCGTTAGACAGTACCAGTTGTCTAATTCCCTCTCCGCATATTCAATTTTACATTCTTTCTCACAGTCACTAACTTTTCTTGATAGTCTGGGTTTTCTGTCGTCAGAACTCACATGAGCAATATATATTTTTTGAAAACCTTTGGTCGATAAACGGTAAGGATAAACAGCAGTTGATTCGAGAACTGAGAGTAAATTTGTACCCCTAAGCGTAGCAGTGTATGGAAAGGGTTAAATGTTTCACCAGAATAACCAGCATTTTCAGAAGGATCACATCACTATCAGAGGAAAGAGGTAGCAAAAGTTTATCCCAAACGTATCTCTCTTCCTTCTTCATGGCATTTATTGCCATACATGCTGTTTAGTACCTCCTGTATGGATAGAAGTAACTGTAATCGGGACTAGTGAGTATTTAAAAAAACACATTTTAGCAGTTTCTAAGAGCAATAATAGGAATGAAAGTTGTTTAAACGTAAACCAAACGTGTCTACATAGTGTTCATAAAAAGTGACTAGAATGAAAAGTGGTTGTTTAATCTGAAATATGACAGCTGATGTAAAACATTTGGTGGCGAGGGATGAATAAAGCTGTGAACAGCAAAAGAGGATGAGCATATGTGCCTTTCAAAAATGAGACATTTAAAACTACAACGTACAGTGAAATTACATTTTTCACCATCATTGTCACATATGTATTTCTATCATAGTTGAATTTTAAGAAAAATAGTCGGGTATACTTAGCTGTCTCTCTCATTCTCTGTCAACAATATTAATTAACACCAACAGTGGTTTAAAGTTTACCATGACTCAGGTTTTGATGATAATTGAGTTCAATTAACATTCCTTTACGTTCAGATAGTTTTACTAGCTAAAACTGTGTCGCCGCATTCTTATCAACTACGTTTCCTTTGTTATCCTTTAACTGTCAGTATGTCATTATTTTCTGTGTCTAAATAACTCGAATTTAAATAAACTTTACCGTAGTTGGGAATTAGATAAAGCTTCAGCTTTGTTGTAATTGTCTCCATTGGTACTATTAACTCTAGATTGGTCTGGTGTGTTTGTTCTCCACGAGTTTTTCAATAGTATTTAAGCATAGTCGTTATTGTTTTAACCTCATTGATATAAAAATAGAACTTGGGCACTTTGGTAGAGTATAATTCCATTATGGATAAAGTTTATTTTGATAATGTCTCACAGTGTTATACAGTAATATTTACTGATGATGTTCGGAGGATCATAATCATACTTACAGAACTTTCTGACTTCGTTTATATAATTCCATTATTTTCCATCGCTTGATTTGATTGGTAGTAGTATTTTCCATATCTCTGGTATTGGTGATGAGTCATTTCTATTGCACGTCTTGGGTGTAGACTCCATGAATAAAGATTTAGTAATCAACCTCTCTCTCCACCTACCTATATTGCTTTCTAGAGTTTTACTCTGTCCCACTTTATTGTTTGTGTGTGTGTCGATGGTTCGGCGGTAGACCGCTCGCCAACCACGCCTCATGTGGTCCAGGGTTCGATCCCTGGCCGACACCCTCCTTTACCTCGCTAAGCCGGCAGTAAGCCCGGTAAAAGGGGGAGGTTGGGCGTGAGGTTAGCAACTTCACCCCGTGAAAATAAAACCACTCCTACCGAAACTCTGAAGCTCTAGCTTGAAGCCCTGTGTTCTCCTAGGAACGTAAAAGAATAAAACAAAAATAAAAGACAAACCCTACTGTGTGGTTGAGTGTTAATGCATGTATTGCGATTGCTGAGTTTTCTTTTTAAATTACTTATCCTCGTGGGGTCAATCATTTGAACCTTAGCTAAGTTCTTATGTTCTGACAATCTGACTATCCCTCGATCTACTGGTGAGACCTATGTAATTAACCTCACAGTCACTGCAAGGTATTTTTAAATTATATTATTTTGTCTAGTTGAGTCAACAGGGTCCTTTAACTTACAGAGCTTGTCTCTGAGTGAGTTTGTAGGTTTAAATGTCACCCTAATTCCTGCTTTATTAAGAATCCTACGTAAGGTTACAGATGTCCCCTCTTTATATGATAAAACTATAGATACTTTGTGTTCTTTCTTATTTCTGTTATGATTATTAGTTTCACCATTATTTTGTTTTACTGTTGACCTTGTCTGATCTTCCTAATGAATTTTAGAGGATAGTTATTTAGAACCAACGCCTCTTCTATTTGTTTTATTTCATCATTTAGGTCTTTTTTTGTGCTACATAGTGCCATTGCTCGGTTTGTTAAACACTTAACTAAGCCTGCCTTAACAGTTAAAGGATGAGATGAATTAAAGTCTAAATATCTATTAGAATGCGTTGGTTTTCTATAAACACTAGTGTGTAGTTTGCCTTCTTCTATTCGTTTTATTTTACAATCTAACATAGCTAATTCTCCTTGTTCATTTTCGGTTTCAAATGTGAATTTTATTCCCTCCACTAGTGAGTTTATGTGTGTCAAGAAGCTAGAGATATGTTCTTTTTGTAACACTGCGAAAGTGTCATCTGCATATCTCCACTATATCTTTGGAGTAGGATTAAATGCATTAAGAGCTATATTTTTCCAGCTATCCATAAAGATATCTGCTACGATAGGGGATATTGGTGATCCCATTGCTACACCTTCTGTTCGTTTATATATTTTGCCTTGAAATTTAAAGACAGTAGACGTCAGGTATAATTGAATTCCTAAAATAATTTCCTTACTGGGTAACGTTATCAGTAAATATTACTGTATTACACTGTGAGACTTTATGAAAATAAATTTTATTCAAAATGGAGTTTTAACCTCATACCTGAATATTTTTGTGTGTAGCAATTGCTCGTCTATTAATGGCATTACATTTGACATTATCCTTTTTTTAATTAGGGAATTGTTAAGAAAATTATCTTGTGATTCTTCCAATCTGATTCAGGATGAAACGGATAGAATTTTAGTTGGTGCTGGATTCATGTGGGGTGTAGATGCAGCTTTTCAGTTTCCTGACGAAGTCAATGAATCAGTACGTCAGTCTATTGACAATGTACATGCTGATCATGAAAAAGATTCTGCTTATCGTAAAGATTTTCGTGGAAATTGTGTTTTTACAATTGACCCAAGTACTGCACGAGATCTTGATGATGCATTGCATATTAGAAATTTAGAACCAAGTGAAATAGAAAGTTTAGCATCAATGGGCTATCCTAATGCTTTTTATGAGGTAAGTCAATTTCAAGTCACTTTGCAAAACATTTTTCGATAGATGAAGAATGTATCTGAACTTAATCATTTCTATACATAAACCAATGAGTTACCAATAGTTTGGCAAAACTCAAAATGTGCATCTTATCAGAAAACTTGCTAGAAGCTATTTGACCAAGTAAAACTATCCTTCAGTGCACAGCTTGCCTTAAATAATTCAGCGCTTTGTTTGAATTCATCGCTAATAAAAAGGGCTGACTAGAGAAAACATGCAAAAGATAAAGAGTAGTAAACTTATACTTTGTCTTGATTCATAAAAGCCCCATCATTATGAAGGGTTATCGGCATGTAGAGGAAATCACTTGTGTTATGAGTTTCTGCGCATGTAAGAATTTTCAACGGTTTGTTTTTAGGGATTTGATTTGTTTCAATTTTGATCACGGATTTATATCAGTTAGGCATCCATTGAAGATCAGGGAGTACTGGACAGTTGTTTCGTCCTAGTCTCGGACTCATCGGCAGTACGTATCCGGCAGGTTTTGAACTCAGAACCTTCCGGTTACAAGGCAAGCTTGTAGATCATTCAGCCACGAAGACTCGACTCAATGTCCCATGAGTTCTAACTTCTATTAATTCGTGATTTTAACACGGTCACCAGCCAATGTCATCGGCGAGTATTTGTCCTCACTCCCGGCTGGATAGACCCCACTGTTCACGACTTCTCATTAGAAATCCAGGCTACTTCATCCTGTACCCAGTCACTAGCGAGCATCAGATTAATTTTTAATAGTTGATTTATAAGGATTAGATTTGTTTCGAGTTTGACCACGGATTGATATCAGTTAGAGAACCGTTGAAAACCAGGGAGTACTGGACAGCTGTTTCGTGGTAAAGACTCGTGTTTTTCAGTCTCCTTGCGTACCTTACTATTGCAGTACACACTAATCTTCAATTTAACTGTACACAACTCCAAGAGATTAGTATACATCTTATCTCTATATTACACTAAGTCAATAATTCGAGCCACTTTTAAGATGAATTGATCAACACTTTGCTATGATGACATTAGTAAAAATTATGCTGTAACTTTTACAGGTTGGAGTTCATATAGCTGATGTTTCGTATTTTGTGAGACCTGATAGTCCAGTTGATAAAGAGGCAGCTTTCAGAGCAACTTCAATATATCTAGTACAATTGTGTGTACCAATGCTACCTCGTTTACTCTGTGAAGAACAATGCAGTCTTAATCCAGGAGAGGATAAACTAGCATATTCTGTTGTGTTCACTGTAACCGAGGATGGAAAGGTAAGTAAATCATGTTTATTATTGGTTTTATTGTGTACCATGTCTACTCACCATTGAATACTTTGAAACTGTGTTGTCGTGTTTCTTGATCCCTTGTATTCCAGTCAAGATAAAGAAAGCTTTACTGAATATTAGATGCCACACTTCAGTCGTATTCCACTGCTACGCATTCTTAATTTGACAATGAACAACTCTCAACACAATCTATACATAACATCTTGAAAAAAAAAACAAATTTTGAGACTGTAAAAGGATAATTCGACTGCAAATGTCTAAATATCGATATAATACGGATATTTACATTTAAGCGGAACAGTGTTGCAAATCGTACCGTGAAATTGTTTCATAATCATTGCTGTCTACTGAAACATACACACCTGTGTATGTGTAGGCCTTTATAAGCAGGAATAGTCGTTATCAATAGGGACCTTCAGAAATGTGCGAAAATCACTTCAAATTCTCGGTTTGTAGTCATTTGACTGATATTACGGTAGATGTCGTCACGAACTGATGCCAATTAGAGAAGCATCAAAAATAACAAGTAAATAAATAAGAACTCTTCGGCTGTTTGATGATAATAACCATAATAACTTAATCCTACAACAAAGCTTTAATATATATTACAGAGTTCTTAGAATATCCTACTGCAAGGCATTTACTTCGGCTGTAGACTCTTCAAGTAAATTAATAATTAGTTCTATCCAAAACACATTTTAATACTCTGCTATGTCTTCATTCCACTTTTTTCCTAGAAGTTTGTAGCGATAGGCTGAATCCTATTTGAAATAAGTGTATGTGAGTGAAATTTACGATTCGGAGATGTAATTAGATAAATAAAACAACAGGAAAAGGGGCGGGGGGGGGGGGTAAATAAGATACATTTTGATGAATGGAAAATCAGGTAATCTAGTGATTTAACCAAGTTACCAGACGATGGCATTGGTTAACTGTGCCCACTGTACTGCGAAGTGGTAATTTATGCGTCATGACATTCTCACCCTGGACGTAGAAGTCTTCTGTCTGATTGCCGATAGGGTCATGAGTGAGCATTGACGAAACAAAAGTTTCTTTGCTTCCTAGTTCTCTAACTGGTGTCGATTCGTGATGAAGTCTACCCTGAAATCAATTACGTAACTTTATCATAGACGTACTGATTAAGATAACTCGCTTAAGATTCTATAGTCGCATATTCTTTTCTATAGTCGATGACAATGTCACAGTTGTGATATTTATTCTTCTAGATTTTTGGGTTTTTCACAAACATTATATGTGTATATATTTGTTTATTGTGTTAGTATTATACTGGTTCAATATGTAGTAATAACTTGCTCAGTTTTCCACACTAACCTACTGTTGAAGCAAGCAAAATAAATGGCGAGTGTAGAGCCTAAACTAATTTTAAAGAATTGTCTTGTAGAGCAATAAAGTCGTCAGCCACATAAAATTTAAGAAATATCATCTATTTTTATGGACTATACTAGCCTATTGCTAACAGGTTTCTCAGTATCTGTATTTTTCATTGTAGAGAATTTCACGATAAGCTAATTTAGTCACTTTTGTACTCGAAACTTTATTATGAGTGTAATAAATGTACAAAACATTTCATATACGTAACAGACATATATACACTTATATTGAAAGTAAATAATGTACTGGCTGAAGAAGTGGGTGCACAAACTAACTCATAATCTTCTATATTCTAACAAAATGTGATGCTTTAACCACTAAACCACAGCAATCAATCTGTTTGCAGCCGACAGGTCACAGGTTCGAGTCCTTCCCCGCCTAATTCAGCGTCGACAACTGAATAGTATCATCAACCCTCAAATTATAAGTGTAGCTCTTAGCCTTGCACATGAAATATCTGTCCCGGGTAAATGAGTTTTTTAAAAAACGGTCTGACACATTAGCGCGGTAAAGAAGGATCTCTGTATTACTGATCTTACATAGGTCGTTCTGATTTTTATCAAGAAACATTGATTTGAATCATGTTAAGCTTTAATAGGTGTTACAGTGGTAAATTGTTATTGTTAACGAGGATCTCATAATTTGTCATAATCATGTTTTCCAGAAAAAAAAACGTGACTGAGGTTATTCTTCTTCAGTGTCCAATGTACAAATTAATTCATTGGCAGTTCATTTTTTTCTATCATAGATTTTAACAACATGGTTTGGTCGTACATTCATTCGTTCTTGCTGTAAACTTAGCTATGAAGATGCTCAGGTTAGTATTTACTGCAATGTTCTAAATCATATTGATTACAGATAATTTTAACTTCTTTTACTTTTATTTATTTCACTTTAAAGTGCTTATATCTAAATTAGTAATTCTTCGGAAGTAATAAATTAAACGTTAAAAGCTGTTTATACAAATAATAATTATTATTATTAACTAGATTCAAGTGGTTTTTAGCACCTGATAATATTTTAACATCTTTCCCATTGTTGATGTTCAATTCCCTGCTACAATTCACATAATTGGTTTCAGTGAAAAAATTGTAGTTTATGTTGATATGCATAAAAATTTCTGTAGTCCAGTTGTAATTTATTGGTTTTTACTCACCTCTACATTTCTTCGTTGGTTCAATGGTATAATGCTTGCCAACCATGCACTTGGTTTGTGCTCAGTTTCTGGGCGACGCACGTTAAAGATTCGTCTAGGTCATCAGCCGATAGTATATTCGGCAATCAGGGAAGATTTGGCGGGAGGCTAGTAACTTCACCCTATGAAAGCGATAAAACCACTGGTACTGAAACGCAAAAGCTTGAAATATTGTGTCCCACTCGTAACTCAAGAAATGTAAACAATCTCTGCACTGACAAATCCAAGCTGTCAGCCAGTCGTGTTCTATGTACTATGACTATAGCAACACTGGATAGCCTCAGTAGTCTGTATGTGCTAAGTGTAACTTATAAAAATATGATCGTCCTGTTGCTGAGTCGTATTTTTTTGTCGGTGTTCAAGGTATGATTGCTTCTTTGACAAGTAAAAGTTTGTAATATTGAACTCAACTTTCTGTGCTTTCCTTACTATTTTATGAAGATGCTCAATGCTATTTCAGAGACTTTTTTCTTATATGGAAATTTCCCTTTTTCCTCACGTTTACTCTTGTCTATTTTATCATTCTATTTAATTTCAGGAGTTTATTGACCATCCAAATAAGGACTGGTCGTCCAGTGACCTCGTCAAAGTAGAGCATCCATATACCGTACCGGATATTTGTCAAAATGTCTTGAAATTACACGATGTGAGTTGTTTTCTGATGTATGTATGTTACCTGTTTTCTATTTTAAAATCACCATTATGTTATCGATGTGTGATTTTTAAATTTTTGATCACGATTTACTTTCAGTTAGAAAACCATTAAAAACCAAAGGGTACTGGGCACCTATCTCGTCCTTGTGTGGGGCCCTTCAGCAGTTCTCACCCATTAACTCATTGAGGATCGGACCCATGATCTACAGGTTACATGGTGAGCTCGTATATCATTTAGTCACTGGGGTCGAATCCAATACTTTTTTTTACTTTACTTCGGCTATCTCCTACGGGAGGATGAGCCGGCTTCATGAACATCTCGAATCATCGCTGCCCAGGAGCGGCGATCTGATGCAACGTTTTGCGACAGGGTTATCCAATTAAGAGAGTTCATGAAGTTTCATGGGAATTTGGTACGAGTGATGTCCCCAGAATCGCTCGGCCTTTTGTTTGAGAGTGCAGCTCTAACCTTTACACAACCAAGTGTGACCTACAAGGCAGTAGGAGTGGAGTAGGGAGTCCACTATCCATTGGCAGCCGGTGACCGGAGTTCGGTTCATACGCCTTTTTGAATGAGGCCAGACATCCAGGACATCCAACAAGCCCTTTGTCCATACGTCTGCCGGTGAGCTTCATACGCCAGTCGTTGGAGGTTTGGAATCAGGGTTTAGCCATCTCCCCTAGACTGTCATCCAATGGACAGTCAACCCAGTGAAGAGCGCCGGGCATCCGCCTTCGCCCTCTCACTTTGGTGAAAAACACCTCCGCCACGTGAAGGCAGTAAGTAGGACTTCCTCAGGAGAGGCTATGTAAGACGCCTGGTCATATGGGAGCATTTCGAGAGGTGTGCGGAAGGGTGGCCAACCCGCAGCGTAAGGCACCCACCCCCGACCATCCTGAGGCTTTGGAGGTCGAATCCAATGGCCCATGAATTCTAACCTTTGCCAGTTCGTTGTGTATATCGTCATCGGTGAGTATCTTTCCTCATGTCCAACTAACTTCCCACTAAATCGCAGGTGGAGTCATGGGCACATACTGATGAAGATCCCCGAACGAAAATGAAGCAGCTGTCCAGTACTCCCTAGTTTTCCATAGTTCTCTGACTGGAGTCAGCTTGTGATCGAAAATTGAAATCAGCCAAAATCCCTGCAAAGCAATACTTGAAAATATAAATTTTTCAATGACAGGCTTCATCAATTCTCTTGTTCAAATTACTTCCATATTCTTACAATTATGACTCCTTCTTGTTTTACATTTCAGCTGGCTTTCAAGATGCGTAGAACTCGTTTTCAGTCTGGTGCTCTTCGATTAGATCAAGTCAAGACTTTCTTTTCATTGGATGATGACAATGGCTTACCGTTGGGTGTATCTCCTTATATAGCTAAACAAAGCAATTGGCTTATTGAAGAATGGATGCTGGCAGCGAATAAAGCAGTTGCTGAACGCCTGGCTAAATACTTACCAGATTCAGCTTTTCTTAGACGACATGCACCACCATCAATGAAACAGCTTACAGATGTTTCAAATAGCTTGAATATGTCTGGAATCAATATTGATGTGGATTCAGCTGGATCAATACAAGTGAGTGTATATTCTGCATTTGACATTATTTAAGCCGTAAAAGTACTGACACTACAGTTATCTCTTTTCATAGTCTTATTAAAGAAGTTAGACGGCTTCTTGTCGGAGTAAATTATTGGTTTCATCCAATTAAAGCTGAGAATTTTGGTCAGCTATTCGACAAACAGATTCAGGCGCTCGAGGTAGCTGTTGTGATATCTAATCTATTGAACAGAGAAATCTATAGAAAGTGACCAGTGATGAACTGGTAGCTGAACAATGTCAAAGTTTCTTTGTTGTCGTTATCGTTACTGACTGGCTGACTGAGTTTCAACAGAGAACTTCACAACATAAGTGCAGCAGTTCAATTCACCACACCATACAGAATCACACAAGGGTAGTGAAGAGAGAAAAAGAGATTCAAAGGAACTGAAATGTACAGCGGCAAGAATCGTAAAATGGGAAAACGTAAGGGTTCAGTGGATCTGGCAGGTCAGAAAAAGTGAGCGTATCCGCTCCACTGAGAACGATTTTGAGCCATATTACTAACAGTCTACAGTCTGGAGATTTTAGCATCCAGAGGACTCCAAGCAGTAAACCTCCCCTCCTATATGTAACTCATACCAACAGTCAAAGGCTTCATGGATTGGTTGCAGATTTTGATTTGACCACCGCTGACTCCTTTCCAACATAATCCAATGTCAGCTAACATTGCTCGTCATGTGCAGCACCTGTCCTGGCGATTTCTACGGATTTACCTTCACAACCCTATCGATCATCTTCCCTTCAATACCTAGCATTTTACGCCTGACAGTATTGTAGCATTCTCATAATTTAAGGGATAATCTAAGGGAATGTATCGTAATTAGTAATTAGATTAAGTGTGATCGATTGCAATTTCTCATGGTGAGAACCATCCTTCACTGAACTTCAAATGCTAATAATCATATCTACTTGCGTATAAGTGTCATGTTATGTTTATTTTTTTATTTTTCTCCAGGCTTCTGTTTGTCGTGAAGCTGGTTGTCCTCTTGAAATTGGATATCACTATTCTGATACTCTTGCCAAGTTATGTACAGAATTTTTATCACACCCAGCAAATCTTGAAAACGGTTTAGTAACGGAAATGGAAAATCTTGGAATAAATCCTGTTATCCGTGATGAGAAATCAATATTAGCATCTCTTGAAAATGAAGCTCGACTCCTGGTTACAGTTGCTTTACTAACTAAGACAATGAATTTAGCTGTTTATTTCTGTTTGGGTATTCTACCTTCTGAGCTGTCACCTGCTCATTATGCTTTAAATATGAAGTTGTATACACATTTCACATCGCCTATTCGTCGTTACGCTGATGTTATTGTTCACAGGCAGTTATCAGCAACACTAGCCAAGGAAGAGAAAGATCGTTAGTACTTTATTATAAATATATATCCTTTGTTATTTTTGCATTTTAGTGTTGTGTTATAAATTGAATTTTTTGTATTTATACGCCAGCCTTGGCTTCCTGTAATTTTTCCCTATGGTGTATAGGTCTGATTGATTCAGTTTCATCAAAGTACTTTGTACAGATGTGCATCAGTTGAAGTTGTCACACTCCATATATCACACAAAGGTAAACAAAGAAGAGAAAAAAGAGAGATTCAGAAGAAAGGAAGAATAGTACCATGAAGAAATATGGCGGTCTAGTAGATATGGGAGATCACAGTGAGTGAATATATCGTTGCCACTATGAACAATTTCGAACCATATCATCAGTAGTCTCAAACCACTGTTTCTTAGCATTCTTAGGACCCCAGCCAGACGGTCTACACCTCCAAACCACCTGTCCAAGGCTTTATAAAAGGATGTGGGGTGAACGTTGCCGTGGCTAAACAGGTAAAGTTTGTAAACAATAACCAGTGGCAAAATCAAAAGTAACTGTTCTGATAATAAATCCAACACTTAAGTTTTTTCTAAACGTAACTCTGACCCCCTCCATTGTTCTTTTGGTTGTTCTGTCTTCACAAGTTGCAATCATCCATATTTGTTTCTCTTACATGTTTGTTTTAATGCAAAGGACACCAGTGGACCGAGTGGTCTAGTGGATAACGCTTTGCGTCGGTGGCATAGCGGTTAGGACGCTCGCCGACCATGCACATGGTCCGGGGTTCGATCCACGGCCACGGACGCACTCCTTTACCTCGCTAAGGCAGAAATAATGCCGGTGAAGAGGAAACGTCGGGCATGAGGCTAGCAACCTCATCCTGTAAAATAAACACTGCTACAGAAACTTCAAGCCACTAGCTTGAAGCCCTATGTTCCACTGGGGAACGTGTAGGAAAATAAACACATCAGCAACAAGTTCTACAACTTCCGTTTTTATTTGTTTTCCCTGGCTCAGTAAAAGTGCCATCAAGTTGACATTGATAACTATTGTCCATTTCTTTAAAGCTGAAGTATTTCAGTCTGTTAAATGATATAATATAGCACATTAGAATTCAACGAAGTGAAGTACCATACATCTTAATGTTAAAGTAAATTTTTGGTGAAAACAGACATACAGCTATCAGATGTGTTTCTTTGGCTCTAGAAAGGGATAAATAGGTTGAAAAAAAATATTAGGAAGCGATTACATGTAAAGCATGGATACTTAATGATTTGAGAGATTTTACTTTTTTGACTCAGAGAATTTCAGTGTCGAATGCATGATCCGTGCTAAAAATAAGCCGACTTTTCAAATCCATAATGAGTGTTAATCATTTTCAGTAATAGTTTATACTTTGTGTATAGTATTTGAAAGTGTCGTTTTCGAACTGTGGTGAATTAAGTGTTTAGATATGTTGGAGAAAATTTGTAGCTCAGGTGTTGTAGTTGTGTTGTCTGAGCTGGATGGTTTATTTGCGAAGCTTTCATTGCCCTTCTAGGCAACATCTTCAGCGCATACTTCAATTCGTTGAAGTAAGCTCTTAGGTTTCTCCACGAGTTTATTAGTCATCTTTCCTGGTGACCTTGAACGTGACTCTCCGGTTGTTTTTGTGTGTTTTCACACCCTCTAGGCTACTTGTATTGGTACTGATTGTTTCATTGGCCTGAAGTGTGACCCTTTGTGTATGAGATTTCCTTTTTATCGATTGGTAAATTTTGTCTATGTCGATGTGTCTACTGATTGACGATTCACTGGAATATCAGGCTTCTGAAAATTCTCTAGCATTCTTGGTGTTTCCTCTGTCTAATATTTGAACTTTGTCCCAGTTGAATTGATGTCCGTGGTTGTCTGTATGCAGCGATATGACAACTGCATTTATAAAAGTACTAAGCATCATCTAGTACTTGTTAATTATCAGTTTATAGTATTTTAATGTTATTCCCTTGGGTTGCGAGTGAAACATAGGGCTTCAGTGGCAAATCACCATCCTTCTCGGTTCCTTGACATTACTTTAAGCAGACTCTATTGCCCCTTCACATGGTCTCCGTGTCCACTCTCTGATGCTCAACTCTATGTTTCCTGTTGTGGTTTGACTCGTGGGTTTGGAGCGTGACGTTAGTATATGTCCAACTCATCTTCATTCCCTTCTACATATTTGTTGGGCAATATGTTCTTGATTGGTTTAATATCATAGTTCCTTGTCGCTTTCTAGTCGGTAGTCTGATCTTCAGTATGGAGTCAGCGAGGGGCAGCTTTTGATAAGAGTGCGGCTTGTTGGAAATGCTTTTAGTGACGTGCCAACTCCCTGAACCATATTGTTTTGTTGTATTGTATTTTACGTTACCTATTACTTGTTTATCATTCATTACTCTTTTTTTTAATTTGTTATTATTTTTACCATTTTAGCTGATAAAGCAGCATGGTATTTAAGTACAGCATTGTCGAATGAGGTCACACCAATGGCACTGCAACAACAAGCTGAAGTATGCAATTCCAAGAAGTTATCTGCTCGTTTAGCCAGTGAAGAAAGTGCTGAACTCTTTTTTGTTCTCTTTGTAAAGGTAATTAAATTACTTAGTTTAATTAATATTATGCAAATTTAAGTATTTACTAACAGGTCAATAATTTACCTATGTTCTATAAAGCATTTGAATGTGTTCCTGTATAGTTATATATTAATGTCTATATACTACTTAAAACATATATTTATACAGTATATACTGATTTGGCTTTCTGAATATTGTTTCACAGGAAACTGGTCCATTAACGGAAGTGTGCGCTGTAACTGCTGTTCTGGATCGTTCTTTTGATGTTTTAATTCTGTCCTGTGGGATCACAAGAAGAGTGTACTTGCAGGTCAGCTTAACTTACGCTGTTTTTAAATGTTTGTTTCTCTGTTGTAGTCAGAAGTGTTTTGTTTTGATACTGTGTAATTGAAGGGTGTTTCAGTTATGTGAGTAGCAATGACCTATAATATGTACATTTAGTGAATATTTAATCTTGGGTGAAACAGGTTGTTACTTCAATAATTGTATAGTGATTGGCTATAAAGCGTTGGTAGTCCAGAGGTCGAATGCTCAGCAGCAACGTAAGTGGTCTGTGGCTCGATTCCCGGCCGACTCACTTCAAAACCTCCCCTGGCTAGTAGTAAACCTGGTAAAGAAGGAAGGTTGGATATGAGTCTAACTACCTTATCTCGAAAAAGAAAAATCACTGTTACTGAAACGTTATATCCGGAACACAACCGAACAGAACTGACTATAAGAGAGTTCTGTTGGATGAGGGGACATGTTGTCCAGTAATACATTAACAGGAAGGAAGTAGGAAGAGGCTAAATATAACAAAGAGAAGAAAGTTAACTGTAATTACTTACATTTAACTTAGTAAGGTCGAAAAGAGAAAATTTAGATTCTTGACAAGACTAAGTGAAGTAAATGAACCGAAAGAACTTTTTTGAAATCGTCGTTTTCGCTTTATAAAAACTCACAGTGATAACATGCCCCATGTTCAATTTAATAAGTAGTGAACTGTGATACATAAGTAGTTTAGAAAGACTTATATGTGCCATTGCAATGATCAAGTGTCACTATGCTTCAGATAGATAGTAATAATGCTTACAAAGAAACTTATTTCTTAAATTTACAATAATTTGTTTTTAAGGATTTTATTTAGCTCAAATTTGATCAGGAACTGTTATCGGTTAGGGGACCACTAAGAACTAAGGACGGTTGTCTAGTCCTAGTTTAGGGCTCTTCATCAGCACTCACCTGAACCCCCCTCATGGATCGAACCCAGACCCTTCAGTTAACAGGGAAAAGCTCCTTAACCATTCAGTCATTCAGACCGGAATTTATTTATTTGTTTTAGTTTATTTTAGCTTGATTCCACATTGCATTTTGGTGCAAGTATGGAATTTTCAGCAGTTGATATCGGTAGCCCAAATTTTGCAGGCCGACCATTGATATCAGGTGTGCGTCGGCCGGGGATCGAACTCCAGACCATGTGCATGGTCGGCTAGCGTCCTAACCACTGTGCCACCGACAATAAACCATGAATTCTAACCTTAAATCTAAATTCAAACTTTATATCATTAGCAAAATTGTAACACAACATAAAAGAGTTCTCGAAAGAACATTCAATTGTACTAAGATTTGTTAAAATATTAAAAACACTGGACATAAATACAGAGTTGAAACGTGTGGGTGTGAGGAAAGTTAGGGTTATTAAAAAGATATTAAAAATATGCAGAATTTGTCATTTATGCTTATTATTCCGTTGTTGTTTTTGTTTTACTTTGATTTATTCTAGCAACATAATTTAAAAAGTTATGAGTTTGTTCCTCCTCAGACATCCAAGGGGAAAATTGTTGAAGGTGGAAAACTCTCACTTCTATGGAATAATAATTCTGAAAATTCTAACACAGTAAATGATTCAACCAATAAGGATAACACTACTACTGTAGCTGCTATTGCTGGTGACTCAAACAGTCAATCATCATCAAGTTGTAATTGTTTGTATATGGAAATTAAACTTTTTGATGTGGTCCGATGTTCTATTGCTATTGATCCTAATGATACTGAAAATGATCCTAATCGAAATGCACGTCAGAATAGTTTCTTACCAAAATTACTTGTACGTTTCTGTTTCTTTATTATAATCATGAATAAAAGTTTGAATAAATGTGATCTTTATGTGGGTTTTATATGATAGATAGATTAATGTACTCCTTAGATATTACTTCATTTCATTGTGCAGGTGTACTTAGAGTGATATTTAAACTGATATGTAAGTCTTCTTTCCTAAATGTTGTACTGAAAGATGTCTATTCTCTTACACAAAACTGATCTTGGATTTAGCTATGATAAAAACTGAGTAGTGATAAAAGGGGTTACATAGTCTAGTACTCTAAAAAGCATTAGGTAACTGAGTTAATGATGAATTACATGCGACGAAGGTTAACAGTCTAAAAAAAAATACCTTATCCGTAAATAAATGTGTCTGTTTGAAAACATGAAGGAAGTGAGTTACTGTAGTGGCATAATAACTTATATGTATTATAGCAGGTGGTTAAGTCATAATCGTTTTTGAGTAAATGCTGTCATCGCTAATTAATTTATTCAGGTCCTAGTGGGAAGTCATGACCAGTAGGGTGAAGCAGATCGGGTGTGAGGACAAATACTCGCCGGAGACATTGGCTAGTGGTCGCGCTATGTCGTGAATTGGCAGAAGTTAGAATTCATGCACTGGTCATTGGATCGGGTCACAGTGGCCTAATGGTCTACGAGCTCGCCTTGTAACCAGAAGGTCCTGGGTTCGAACCCCAGTGGTTGCGTACTGCTGCTGTCCAGTACTCCCAGGTTTTCCAATGGTTCTCTGACCAATGTTAGCTCAAGATGAAATCCTGTAACCAATCAATCAAATCCCTACAAACCAGCACTTGAACTTCATTTTTAATTGATTTTGATGCATAAACAGATTTCGTTCTGATGAGTATTTCAGATAACGATTAACTAATGATTTCTCTGGACCTGTTAATATCATCTTTTGAAAATATCTTCATCTTATATATTTCTTCAACGTAATAGTACTAATCATAATTAGTCATAATATTAGCTTTATTCTGAGAAATATGCTTAAAAACATTACAGAATTCTTAGCGCGATTTCTCGTGGAGTATTCACTTATCGTAAGTAAAATAGCTATTGACAGTATATTGTATGAAGCCAAAGCCGACCGAAAGCTGCTACCTTTACGTGGTGGTCGGTCTTGAACACCGCAATGACCCAACAAGCTATACTGACTGCAACTTATGTCGCTTGGAATCCTACCATGCCAGAAAGGTTGTTTGGATAGTGGTTAGACAAAAAGCAGTTACCCAATCCAATGCTATGACCCAAACAAAATCACAAAATATCATGCCGGATCGGTCGGGGCCCGGATTAACAATGACCGCGCTTCCTGCTGCCGTGTCACAGGGCAGAAGTGGTAAATATGCTACTGAGACACACCAAATGTAAAGGAACAAACAAAAACAGTCCGCGTGTGACCGGCCTCAAGCAGTTGTCCCCTGGGCTCTGCGATCACGCAACCAACTTCCACGGTGTGGGCAGCCGGGAAGTAACAATCGCCCTCACAATCCAAAATGTATGAAGCAACGTTATTCCGTTTAAAACAATATTCAGTTGTCTTCATTTCCTTATTAAAATGCATAGCGGTAGGTTTAGGGTTAATAAAAGATGTGAGTTAGTTCATTGGAGAATTAAAACAATTGGAAAGGTGGAAAAGTAACTGTATTATACTGGATGGAAATTTAGGTAGTTCAGTAGTTTGGTTTAAGAAACGTTATCGTTTCAATCAGTATTAAAGTTCATTTCTTTCATTCACGTTGAACTTACTCCAGTCTTATTGGTGACTGAAACCTGCTATTATTTATTATTTCTTCCCTATTTTAAATTAATTTAACATAGAATAGGAATGATGCATAATGCACTTTTGTCAAGGTGTGACTCATTAGTGTACACGCTCAGCTTGTAACTAAGTGGGTAACAGATTTGAACTCCACTCTACTTACTGAGGTTTAGGCAAGCAGGCAGTAACTATCACAAACTCTCTTACAATCGGTTTAACTCATTACCAACTGCGCATGGAATTGCAAGTGGGTATTGCGTAACATTTCGTTGCTTTTAAATCTTAATGCATTTAAACTATGAAGGGACCAAGTTGAAGTGATCTAAATACCGATAATGAGCTTGAACCCAAACAAACGAAGCGGCAGTCTTGCAGTATAGATTACCTCTATCTGGCTCTGGCTAGCAAGTACTACTGGATGATGTGGTTGGTATAGAACTACTCATATTAATGAATCAGTAGTATATGGTTTTCTTTGCAAATGTTTTGACTAGCAGGAAAGTGCAATATATCTTCACAAATTGCTTTAAAATATGCTTATAATAGTCTTCTTTTCAAAATTCTACCTACAGGTTACCTTACAACGTCCAACGTGTAACAAATGTCTTTTTGTATAATTAATTGTCTTAATCAATCTTACCTGTTCGTCAAGAAAGAAAAACCAATGCATTGAACAATGACGTTTGTTTCTGGTTTTCTTCTTTCTACAAACCAATGGGATTTTGTTTCGTTACTTGTGTTATACTCATCTACCTGTAGATATTATTAATGTTACTCATTGAGATATTTACTTACAGCGTATGACGTTTTGTTGTTGTTTTTGTTTTTTTGTCTGAAAGGCAAACACCTTTATTCTGTTTATTTTCTTTATCGTTGTTTTGTGATCCCTACGTTTGTTTTCCTCGTCCTCATTTGTTGTATAATTCATTCAACTTTAGGTGTAAAATATACTTAAGGCTTTAAAAATTGCAAGAATTTTTGTAGAAGTTATTATTCTTATTATTTATTCCCTTAGGTTCTGGTTGGAAAATAGACCTTCAACAACACGTCTCCATTTCAGCATGTTTTCTGTAGTCGTCTTGGGCTTGACGACTGTACGTAGTCTCTAATCTCCTCTATGTGACCTTCGGTACCATGCCTAAAGCATTGTTTCCTATTTAAAGGTCCCCGTCGAACAATGGCCTGGCGCGTGATTTCACACAACGGTTTCTCTAACGCGTGTGTTCGATTTATCTCTATTTTCTTCGGGATAGTTACTTGGCAATAGGTTGTTGGTCGGTTTGTTGATAATCCTCTCTAGTCACTCGATCTTCGGTATGGAGCTAGCAGAGACAGCTTCTGATTGAAGTTTACAGCAGCATGTTGGAAATGCTGTCTCTGAAGCGCGTAGCAAGTCCGTGAACCACATAGAAGCACTGACTGACTTCAAACTATAGTGTTAAAATTCCTAATCTTGTTCATCATACCAAATGCAGTAGATGTTTACGCTGATTTCAGCTTAATGAAGGTTTATCTTACTTTTCCGATCCTATCTTTGATGTTTGTATCCGTGCTGCATTTAGTTGAAACGATGCAATGATATAAATTTTAGGATTCATATTCACACTTTTAGTATAAGTGATAAGCATATTTTAGTGTATGTAATATCTGAGATACTTGCTATTCACTGACGCATATGGGAAATGGCATCATAGCGTTAACCTGACAACCAAACAACGGAGTACGATACCATAGGTTGTGAATCATGTTTTTTCCTATGTTATGTTACCCGGATGTGAGAATAAATACTCGCCGTTAAACATTGGCTTACACTCGTGTGAAAGTCGCTAATTGACAGAAGTTAGAAAACATGGGCGATAAAATTCCTGTCCAAGTGGCTGAATAGTTAACGACCTTGGCCTTCTAGCCTAAAGTTCTTGGATTCTATCTTTGGTGGAGTGATGGGTGTGTACGCCAGATGATCCCCAAACTAGGACGAAATAACTGCCCAGTACCCTCTAGTTTTCAATGACCCTCCAACTAACACCAGTCTATGACCGAACTTGAATGTCTTATTGGGTTTGTTGTATTATATATGTATGTATAAATAAACCATTACAGATTCAATAAACATGCATTTCATTATTATAGTCATAAGTAAGATATATTAAACTCTAAAGATAATCTACCTTGATTCAGCGTGTTAATATGGTAAAAGCATGTGACAAAAAAGTCTTAGCACAAGAGTACCAATGTCGGTGGTTGATGTAGGCAAAATAATAAATGCTTATTAAATACTAGCTAGAAATCCCTGGTATTCCTCCCTTATTGCTGCTACTAACACTTTTTTAAAGGTGGTTTTAACACTGTTTTGTAGCTGCTGGTATATGAGGTGATAATTTCCAGTAATCGGCAAAAAAAACTGGCTTTCTACTTTTCTTTCCTCTTGCTACATATTTATTTATGTGTTAATAACTTAAAAGCTGTTTTGTATATGATAACTACCATTTTGTTTTTATGAAATATATACATTTTCTTCGATAGTTGAATAGTTTTTTATTATTGCGAATGTTATGATGGAATATTATTCTCTGTTGTTGTTTGTTTTGAATGCTGAATCTCTCGAGGCAAAAGTGTTTTTTTCTTTTATTTACTTCGAGAATTTGCTTTGAAAAAAAATATATGGAGACACAATATCTGCTGGTTTCCCTTCATCATATATCAAACTCACAAAGCATGTGAATACATATATTTAAAAGTTAGAAATCCTATGATAATAATGCCTCTTAGTGAATATCATTTCTTACCCGTTATACTTATAATGAAAGTTTGATGTTCGTTATGAAAAGTTAACCTATCCATGTGTTAAGTTTGATTTCGTGACTAAGGAAGACTCTTGCGATTCATTCAGTTTCTGTAGTCTCTCTTGTATCCCATTTTACTGTTACATCAGTCTCTTGAAGATGTAGCTTTATTGGCTTAAGCATTTGAATTTTCTTCGACCAATAGGCCTGAGGTCCTACTCCCGTTCCAGCTACTTCAACCTGGCCGATTGGGTGGTGTCATCAACCTTCACAGTTTATGTACTAGTCATAGGCTGAGATTTGTGAAAATTTTATACTAATAATAATAATACATCAATCTCACAAAATCTCAACAGTTTTGGGTTGTTAAGCTTCATATAATCCAATTTCCTCTGTACTCTTGAAAACTGATCCTTTTGTTGATGTGAAGTGCTTGTTTTCTAAGCTGTTGAACCACAAAATCCACCTTTTGTGCAACAAGTTCTGTTTTGATATTATATTATAATGGATTCAAGGAAATATCGCGGGTATTCCATCTATCTAATCAGACCATATATGAACTAACACTGACCATTTATTTTGGTCTAGGTAAATCAACAGAAGGAAATCACAAGTATAATAATTATATAACTGTACTACTAGAAATGTACGTTGGTGGCATAGCGGTTAGGACGCTCGCCGACCATGCACATGGTCCGGGGTTCGATCCTCGGCCACAGACGCACTCCTTTACCTCGCTAAGCCAGAAATAATGCTGGTGAAAAGAAAAGGTTGGGCATGAGGCTTGCAACCCCATCCTGTAAAATAAACACTGCTACAGAAACTTCAAGCCACTATCTTGAAGCCCTATGTTCCACTGGGGAAAGTGAAGGAAAAAAAAACTACTTAAAATGTTGGAAGCATAGAATAATACCTTAGTTTGATTACATTCTGATAGTAGAGTTTCGTGTTCTTTGCTTCTAAAATTGGTTGTGGACCGAGTCTTCTAGGTACTTTCATAAGACAGTGTGATTGGTGCTCTTTGGTTGGTATTCTTACACCTTAAATTAGTCTGTGATGTAGATGAAAAGTAAAGAAGCCAACTGATTATTCAGTCAAAAGACTAATTCTGTCTGTATATATATAACTCCTTCCAGTACAGTTTGTCTGCTGAACAGTTCTTTATCTGTCTGTAAAGTGTGTTTTTCAATCAGTTTGATATATAGATTTCTGTGTTTATGGGGAATACCTGTCTCCAGATATCCTATTATCTGTTTTCCTCCTAGTGTTATAGATTTGATTGTGTGGTGGGTTAATATTTTAAATTACAGTTAACATGACAAAAAGATCGAACCGAGTTACATAGAAATGCATTAGTTCACATTGCTCCACATATCAGTATAACAGTAAATGGAATTGACCGAGACATTTATTAGAAATTAACAAGTAAGACTTGTACCTAGTGTTGTGGAGTTGGACTTGCTGCATTACTGATGCAAAAAAACTGGTTATTCAATCAAATAAACTGAACTATACTGACTCTAGACGGAAAATTATGCTTAAATTCAACTAGCTAGTCATTGAATTTCGCCCAATAAATATTGAAACCGCATTTCTCGATGGTTATTAGTTAGTGGGGTATTCAATCGTAGCTGAATACAAAGGTTAAGAAGTTCAAGAAACGAAAAACGGGGAATGTATACGCATCAAGGTGTCTATTTCAAGTGGCATCATTTTGAATCCTCAACGATTGGATTAGGACACCCGTCAAAAAGATTATAGGTTCGTTCAGAAAAAGCAATCTCCTAGTTCAAAAGTAGGTCCCATAAACAATTAGAGAAAGAAAAGAACTATTAGTATTCACTACCTGCTTATGGCGATCACTTGTGTCTTCCTTCCTTCCATTTAAGCAGTTTCGTTCGTATCTCAATGATAAAATCAGTGATCTGTCCATACAGAAACAGCAATAGGAAACCCCAGTTCAATTCTACAAAAAGAGTGTGCGCTCTCAATACTAAGAAGAAGAATTAATTCTCAAAAATCAGACCTGCCTTTAGATTCCTGTTTTTCACTCAGGCTAAATTATTACAAAATCATATTTTTACTCAGTCAATATCTGTTTTCTTTTTCATGCCATTGCATTTCAAGCGGAACATACAGCTTCAGGTTTTGAAGTTTCAGTAGCGTTTGTGCTACTTTTACGCTGTGGGATTGCTAACCTCACGTTCTATCTCCCCTCTCCCCTGGGCTTACTACCAGTAGGTGTGGTTTGGCAGTGCGTCGGTCGGGAATCGAACCGCAGCCACGTGCATGGTTACCGAGCATTCTCCCTCTGAACCGCTGATGCCGAAATACCTGTGGTACAGGAACTAGAGGAAACAATAATAATTACAATTTTTTGATGTAGTTTACCTAAGATGTCATTCTTAAATTATGTAGTTAAGTGTATGTGTGTTTTCATATATTCGGCCACATATTTTGGTAGTTTGATTATCTAAAAGTTGGTCTTCATTAGACCCGTCTTTTGCATCTAAATAAATTAATGAATAAATCAGTAAGAAGTTAATTGATACAAAGTATTTTAAGGCCTTGTTATGCAATTAGTGACGTCATCATCATCTTCTTACTACCCTCTTTCATGAGTAGAAGTTGTATATAAATACGATTGTACAGCTAAAGAAAGTGAATTCGTTAAAAAGAGATTCTTCGATGATATTAGATGGTTGGTGGAAATCCGCAGGAAGCCTTGGACCCAGGTCTCTTGCTAGTTGGTACTCACAAGTCAGCAAGGCGTATCTGCAACCGAGAAGGAACTCATGTCCCTTCTGAGATTCGAACCCAAGTCACCCAGTGTTGCAGTCAGAGACGTTACCAGTGAGCTATTCGTGCTCGCGATTGACTTCCTGTAGGACTGTAGTGGATACTTTGATTGGACACCAGTAACTAATGCAATGTGTCTGGTCCTTTCTTTGGTGCAGAATGAATTCTATTAAGGACATGAGTTCCCTCAAAGTTGCAAATACACCTTGCTGACGAGTGCCAACTAGCACGAAACCTAGGTCCAAATCTTCTTGCCAATTGCCTCCAACCATCTAATATCATCAAATCAATGTGCACCGTGATGGCGAGCTACCTAGAATGGTGGCCACATTACAAACCTGACTGATAGAATTCAGTCTGCACCAAAGAAAGGACCAGACACATCACACTAGTTACTAGTGTCCA